TCGCTCAATGCTCAAGATCAAATGGCCTCAAAAGATCATCAACAGGTATCTCTGGGAACAAGAAACCGACTGTGCAACAAATAAGCAGAAAGAAATGGAAGTGGATTGGCTGGCCATACTTTGAGGAAACCATCAAGTGACATCACTAGACAAGGCATTGCTCGAGTGGAACCCGAAAGGGAGGCGGCGAGTTGGTCGTCAGTGCAAGGGTGACTTGGAGGAGGTCATGCGAGGAGGAGATGAAAGCATGTGGACAGACTTGGAGCGGGGTGAAAAAGTTGGCAGAAAACCGAAGGCAATGGAGGTGCGCAGCTGAATCCCCATGTTCCTCTAGGAACTAAAGGATATAATAATAATAATAAATAGTAGACTGCGATATGAACGGACTGTATTCAGGAGGAACAAGTCATCGCGAATTGAACTGCGACAAATCCTATCACCATCAAACAGTGCCCAGAATTGCAGTAAGTCTCACTCCTCAGTTTCATCAACTTTGAAAGAGTTTTCGACCTCATCAGTACTAATGAGTGCAGCTAGACGAAGATTTATGAACCGCATTCGATAGTCACATGATGGCACCACATAAAAAGTGATTCACAACGGAAAGCTCACCAAGGCGTTTGGAGTGAAGACGGGCTTAAGACAAGGCCGACTGTCATCACCAGTGATTTTCCTGATTATGGTAGATTGGATCGTGAGCCCGTGGTGAACATTAGAAGACATGAATTTCAGTGATGGTTTTTATCTCGGGTCGCCAAAACTTGAGTATTTGCAAGCCAAACCAAGTAGGTTGGCAGAAGTTAAATGCAGTGAAAATATCCAGTCACCAAAACGAATATAAATTATCATTATCGGGGAGATTTGGAGGAAGTCGTCTTTTCGCCTATTTGAACTGGACAGTAGAGTTTCATCTACAGGCGAGTGGCGTGGTTGGATCCGTAAAAGAAAGAGAACCGGGATATCAAAACAGGCACTGGTTACTTTGAAGTCAGTGTGGTGTGGAGATAATGTAGCGCTCGGCACAAGGAACGAGATCCGAAATTTTAACACTACTGCTTGGTAAAGGCTACTATGTGGTTCACAAATTGGATGTGTGCCTCCCCAAAAGGATTTCTGTCAATTTGCCACAGACTTCCGTCATTACTTACCTTTTTCCGATGCTGAATTCCACTTCGCTGGCCAAAGAAGGTAAGCATGCATCAAGGAACTCTCCGGGCGAGGTGAGAAACTAAACATGCATCCAGTGCTCAATACACATTTTGAAAAGAGTGGAGTAAAACAATCCAACATAACCTTATCTAGTTTTCGCATCCACGATCGAATTTCCTTCCTATTACAAAACTACGATAAGACTGCTGACAAAAATGGAATAAATATATCACTGATCTCAACATAATACATCAATAAACTTTAGGCCAAGGGTGCTGTTCACAACAAAGTTATATAGCAGAATTGACTTCAAGCTTTTTCCAACCAGATATTTGTATTACATTCATCTGATGTCTGGGTCTTTTGTTAATGCGAAGGCAATATTTCCATATCTCTTTATGTGTCTCACAAACATACTTTGTAGCAGACTGTTTCGACTGACTCCAATGTCAGAAAGAACAACCAAACTGTGAATTTACCATACATCAAAATGTGTGTAATTTATATAACAACTTATCCATGCATGTACAATTGGTATCTTCCTGCATGAACAGGAATACATATATATATATATTAAGACTGGATTAGAAACACGCCAAGGGAACCATCGAATGATATAACAACCTTGTTGGGCAGCAGAGTGGATTCAGAATGAGAAGTGACGAGCTGGGTGTCAGGGGGCTGAAATGGTGAGCGTCGTGTGAAGACAGGTTAAAAGCTTACAGGCAGTCTTAATTAGGGGATTAGAGAAGTTCGTTAAATCAACTGGATTGTCAACAATCAATCTGTTTATCTGTTTGAATTGAAATGCGGTATGACCGTTGAGTTTTCAAGGGACAAGAGCAGGCAGCTTCGTTGTGGTATGATTGTATATATCTACACCCTCTTCAAATTACCGTCAATAAATAAACATTTCAGCGGCCGTGTTGTATTATGCCTCCGCTAGTTTTTTTATATTTTTGATGGTAGTTTGATTCCACACAGCATTTTGGTACAAGTACGGAATTTTCAGCATGTCATACTGGTCGCCTAAATTTTACAGGGTGAACATTGATATCAGGGGAGCGTCGGTGGGGGATCGAACCCTGGACCATGTGGATGGTCGGCAAGAGTCCAAACCGTTGTGCCACCGACGCACGAGGTGTGTCAAGGACATTCTGGCCACGAGGTTAGGCGGGCCAGAACATGAGGTCAGCAGGTAGTGTGGTCACAGCTCAGGTCTAGCATGTTAGATAGCCATACACTAGTAGTGGGCATTATTTCTGGTCAAAACCAACTAGAAGCCAGCTAGAAAATTGTTCAAGCAGCCCAACTAAATGGTTTCCCAGAGTGGGGGTGGTTGGAAGCGATTACAGATGACCGGGTGTAGCGAGGATGTTCTGCTGAAACCTCACATTACTCTTGAAAAACAAGGTGTATGTCATTGTCACCTAGGTTAAAGTACTCACCGTCATGCTGAAATTACGCGTGTTCAAATGGAATGAATGCCTTTGTGCTTGGCATGTGTCAGCCACGTCTCGTAAACCGTCAATGTCCAGCTCTTGCTACACTGGGACTTACGCTGTTCTTCGAAGCTTCTCAGAAGCGCTTAGTACGAACGGACGCAAAAGCCAGAACCCAGTTTGGTGATTCGAGAATTATTTATTCTGACACCGACATATAGCCAACTTTAAAATTAAGCTTTACAACTAAGGTCTATGAACAAATATTACAATAATAAATCATAACATTACTTCTGACGGTTTTGTCCTGACTTCTTTCTGAACAGCGACCGATGAGACGATAACTTGTGTATTGATGCCTCCGCGAAAATTGGGGAAGTTGGTTTTGAGCAAACAACCATGAATTGATTGTTCAATCTTCAGTTAGATTGACAGCATGTGTTAATGGATGACAAATTTTAAGATAATTTACCACACATGCACGACTTGCAAACTCCCATCAGACAATTTAAAGAGTAGTTCAATGGACGGACATTCATAGTTACTTAAAAACAAACGAAAATTGCTTGACTTGACTTTTACAAATGCATTCCGGTCGTTCGTTTCTCTATGCATGGCTGATGGTAAGGATTCAAACGTGCACATATCTTCTGGTTCTCTACCTCTTGGCAAGGGTTTTAATTGTACTCGTAATAGTGTAGGCAGATTCCTTGCCTAGGGTATCACAGAAAATGTTTTTTTGGAGACCCACACAGGGCCTTCATTTCAGCCGTTACTATTACTGAAGTAAATGCAACCTATTTCAGGAATTTGACAAGGATCTAGGCATTAAGAGAACCTACATACCGTCCAAGATGCTTTTGGTACTATAACTTCGAGGAAACGATAAAAAGTTTCAACCCTTGGTTATGTCAAATACTTGTTCGTAACATTAGCTGGCTCTTTTAAGACACTTGGCCGCCAACAAAACCGAATAATCCATATTCGGGCTGAAAGTCTTCTCCACGTGATACACCCTAATTTAAATGTTTCTTCAACGTGCTATGTATTTTGTCCAGTGTAATTTCTCCATTCTTTTCGGCAAATTCTTACGAAAGTAGTCCCGAACGACAAGGGATGACTCAAATCCCCACCTCCAGGACGCCTTTTTCGAGATTCGAAATATTAAATTTGAGTGGCTACATTGGAAAAGTGCACGGCTGAAATGATTTGCCCCTTACCCTGAATGGTGCATAAACATTATCACATCTATTTTACTGAATTTGAGATTTTCCCGTCGATTGATTGGACCGAAGTGCTCGGTCTCAGGTTGACATGTCGGTTTCTTGTGCAGATGCTTCGACGATGTCTGGGCATTTAGTTGGTATTTAATTTGTGGATGGTGACTAGCAGTGGAAGCCGACATGTCAACCTGAGACCGAGCACTTCGGTCCAATCAATCGACGGGAAAATCAAAAATTCAATTAAATTAATATGACCCGTTGCACAAGAGGTGGCTCTCATGGCCCAAGTGGTTTAGTGGATAACACTTTGGCGTTTGAAACTATGGGTACTGGGTTCGAGCCTCGGTGGGAACATCATCACTCGCTGAGAAATTCAGGTGCATCAAGCTGACGAGTCCCAAATAGGACGAAATGCGCAACCTGGATTCCACTGCTAGTCACCATCCACCAATTAAATTATCACATCTAAATTGAAGAGCAACAACTTAGTTATGGACGATGAGCAATTCGTGAGTGACACAGATAATTGGATGTTCAATTTATAAGTGGATGCCATTCGAAACGAAGAATGTTAATCGAAACTTGCTGGTGTGTGATCATTATTGGAAAGTTACTCAAAAACCCTATGGTATGCGTTAATTCTCATTTCGAAGCTTCCATTTTATCAGTTCCTACTATGCTGTAACATAAACAGAAAACATGTTTCACAAGATGATTTAGTTCTTACATATGGAAATTTAGTGAGTCTTCTGTCTCAATCCATTCTTATTCAAGACCAGTGAACCACCGCCGCATTTTATTCATGCCAATTCATTAACCTTTAGTAGCAGGCAAATGCAGGAATTTCAGGAAGTTGTCCAGGCGTCCAATTTGATATTAGAAATAGAAGTAAAATCCACATGTCAAACATTTGTTTCATTTAAGAATTTTAAGTATTATCATTTATAAGGAGAAAGGAATCAAACACGCTTTTAGGAGAACTAAGACAAGTTGGTTAGGAATGCAGAGTTATGTAATGACATCAAAGCACCAGTAGTAGGAATACTGTATTTTATAAACAGTGAAAAAACTTCTCATACAAAATAGATGGTTAGGATTTAAAAGGCAGAGTTTGTTAAAATGCATCCTTTCTAGGTCAAAGGCTTTTGTTGTTTACAGCGCTGGCTCAAGTTTTTTCTTCCGTGCAATGAATTGTTTTCTGGGCTTGTTTTCAGTTTTCTTCATTGTGCATCACACCAAAACACGTAAGAAAATTCAAAAATATTTCCGTGTTTTCCTTTTTTTATTTAAAAGGTAAAGTGTTCGTTTGGTTTGACCTATTTAACGCTCTTAACTTCAACTAAAGGTAAATTCTAAGCTTTATATATGTACGGTAATGCGACATGTTTGTTCATGCGACTGCCAGGTTGTAGTTTTTGTTGTATAAGATTCGTGATTCCGACTTCGCTGTATTAATGTAGTCATAATTATAATCGTCAAATATGAATAAATGCATTTATTCATATCCTATCGTCATGACGATACTCTAGAGGGCCTAACAATAATTCAAGCAGTCTTAGTTCATTTTCTTATCGATATTAACTGGAAAAGACGTCATTCTCAATTGAATCATGAATTAATAACATTTGTGTACCGGGGACGAGCTCATACTCTGAGGTATTAACTAGGTTGAGTAGTATGCCTTAAACACATTCTCAACTAAGCATTCATTATGCCTACTATGCTCCCTTTACATTCGGAAAGCTTTGACTGCATCTTTGTTACAATCTGAAATAGTTTTTATATTTTCGGTGTCATTATAATGACTATAGTCATTATTATAGTTGGTTTTGTTCCTTGACGTCAAATAATTCAGTTTCCCTCAGGAAAGACGTCGAGTAAGATCTCACGCTTAGGTATTTTATTGCACTTTCCCTGGAGTTAATTTACAAGCTCCACAGACCGAATCATTCAATTAGTTTGTCTTATTCACACTAATTAGTGTTGTATATATATTGAGTCATCTACAAATCATACCTAAGATGATTTCGTAATTTTAGATTTCAGATTTAAATTTATTGGTTGAAGATAGAAGGCTTGGAGCCTATGTTAATCTTTTTCTAGTAAATTTCTGTGGTTGTGAAAACCCTTCTTGAACGAATCAGTTGAGGTTGTAGACATCACTTCTTCTGGGAGTCGGTTCCAAGAGTTTATGACTCGGTGTGAGAACCAGTACTCAACAGCAATATAATTTCTTCTTGGCTTCTGAACTCTCCTGCTATGTCCTCTAAGGTGTTCCGACCACCTGGTAGGAAGGAAAAAAGAGGATATGTCAGGTCCGTAGTCATTATTTAAAATTTTTAAAATTGTGATTAAATCTCCTCTCTGCCTACTGTATGACAGGGAGAAGAGATTTAAACTGTCTAGTCTTTCCTCGTATGATAAGTTAGCCATGCCGTGAACCATACGTGTTGTCTTCCCTTGAACCCTTTCTAGAATGTGTGAGTCCCTTTTAGACAAGGACTGGAGGCCTGGATGCAGTTTTCCAGTCTTGACCTCACCAGAGACGTATATAAGTAGATGAACATATCTCTGGTGATTCTAGTAAAGGCTCTGCGAAGTTGTCAATACACTGTAGGAATAACAATAAGCCTATAATCGTGCTGTGTAAGACTCCACTGGAAATATTTTCCCAGTATTATTAAACGCCTTATGCTCAGCAGGTAGTCCATAAATCAACCATATAGGATGTTATTTAAGTCTCCCTCTTTTAGTTCACTGACGAGGTCTCAATTGGACACCTTATCAAAAACTTTACTGAGACCAGTAGACAGCACGTTGGCTAGTAGATTCTTGTCCCTTGCTCTTCACCTATTGTTTTAGCTGTCAGCAAGTACCATACTGATCTGTAAGTGTGGTGATCTATTGTCGATAAGCTATGTTTTTCTCCATGCACTAGTATTGGGTCCCTAATGTGCTTTCTCCAGTATGGTAACTACAGTGATCCTAATCACCCATCGCTGTCTCTGGAAACAGGGCTTGAAACTGCATCTTTTCGATTCGTTGCTGATAAAGTCTCCGATTTAGACAGTAAATATCTTCTTTAGCAGTAGTTATAATAAATCAACCAAGGAGAGTAGCAGCTGTTGATGGAGTCTGTCGAGCCCTGGAGACTTGCCCGGCTTTAATCCGGACAGCAGTCTGAGCACTACTATATCGTATACCATAATAGGGGGGAGTTGTATGGCTTTGATAGTAACATAGCTAATCTTCGGGAGACCGTTTTCAGAAGTATTTGAAAAAGTTTTCAGTCTTCAGTTCATCTGATTCAGGCAGTCCAACTATATTGTCGCCGGACAATAGTATATAGTTCCTTATTTTAGTCCTGTGTTTTGTACATAAGCACATTTTTTTGAAGACAATGTAGGCAGTAGAGCACCAACTGTCTCTCATATGCTGTTCAACTTTTCTTTATCATAAACTTGCAGAAGTCCCGACTTTCGCATCATTTTGGCTGAAACTCATCCCTTAATATTTTCGTCAACAGGTTCTATGAACGATTTCTCCTTCCTAATAACCCCCATATCTGTATGCTTATTTAGCAAGGTGTAGACCAACGTAAAACGGTGATGTAGCATGTTCAAATTTATTTTAGATTTCTACATAGTCTTCTTCGACAGTGCACTTGGTGTTCACTGAAAAGTCAGCTAAGATTGCTACATTGCCGATCGCTGATAAACGTAAATATATTTGTGTGGTTATATAGGCGAATTTGGAAAGCTTTGTGAATGCCATGATATGATTATGAGCAATAAACCGTGCTTGAAATGTCATCAGTAAATAATATTGTATCACTGTGTGGTTTTATCAAATTAATTTATTCTATGATGGGTATATTTTCTCACCAAATGTTTTGACAAAGAGGTGCTGACCTATGAGTGAAGCCATAAGTTTTAAATGTAAAAGCAATGACTTCACAGTCACAGCTACCTCGCAGTGGAATTCACCTGGTGTCGCTTACATCTGGTATTTGATGTGCAAGTGCCGATTTTACAACCAAAAGGTTATGCTTACTGTCATATCGTGTTGGTACATGTACATGGTGTATGATTACAATCTCAGCGTCGATGTAAGCTGATTCTTGAAACACTCCTATTGTCTAGTCGATGTTAGCTCCTTTCAGTCAACGTATGGGGCCTAATATCAGACATCTTTTCCCAGTGATCCAAACATTCAGGTGGTTTAAGGCAAAGTCGTCAGGTTGGCTGTGTATGACTTTGATTGTCACAGTGCCCCTGTTCAAGTTAATTTTTACAATTCGCCAATTCCATACGCTTCAAACAGAGTTCATCTAATTCCGAAGTCTTTCCGAATGTATACATGTGCACCATCTTCCTCACGGCTTATCAGTGTTTACGGTCCGATATAGACATATCCACATGTGAGTATATGAAGTTTCACACCCACCAGTAAGCATATTTCAGTAATAGCCATTACGCCGTAGTCCAGTCCTTCTGAAAACTCTCCTAATTCAGGAAGCTCTCCTCGAAGAATACGTGTGTTTGTATAGCACAGAAAAAACTTGTGTGTTTATCTGGCTTATTAACAGTAGTTTTGAAGCGAACTGGATTATAAACGTGGAACTTTGTACAAAATACAGCATTTCGAGTTGCTCCACTTCTTTCTAACCTCTTTCTATTCCAACAAATATGCACGTTGGTCCCATCGTATGACTTCACTTAACAGTACGCCCTTCATCCGCCTATGGCATCTCTCCTGTTGATTGTGTTCTGCAACAGCAGTCTTCAGTAAATGTCATCACTCTTTGTATTACGTTTGCCGATTCAACTGGCCTTTGTTATATGGATTTCGTCCGTTGCCTAGGAGAGTAAATCAGGGAATAATGCTCCACCACCCTGACGTCATGTGCATGACTTGCAAGTGAGTCGGAGTCCGTATATTCTTCTATATTCCAAATAATGAGGCCATACATGATATCCGCGAAATTTTGATTTAATTTTGCGTTACGTGTTATTTTTTAAAATTTGCTCGACTTCTTCCCACTTGCAGCTCTTCATGTGGAGTTCGATTTATCCACTATGGTATTGCTACATATTCGGACCACACACCATTAGATGCACTGAGTTGCTTCACATCAATCTAGCCGGCTGGTCTTACGGTACTGAGACCAGATACTCTCTTCAATCTTCGAGGTTTCCTTAGGGTCTGACCACTGGTTACTTCGCTATTCTTATCAATATCAACTTCCTTAGATCCGAGCTTGTTTTCTTGGCTTGTTTTAGTGTAAACTTAGTGGATATTAGAAATCCAACTGCCTCTTGAATGAGGATTTTGAATGACTCACCACAGAAGTTGTAAAGTCACATAGATGACAGTTGATAGGCTGGTACAAACTATTTGAAAACCACTGGTTGAAGGCAATACACTGCATATCACCGTCAATCGAATAATGACAGTCCTTTAATCCATTATAATTTTACTAGTCATAATAGTATTAATTAGTTAAAATATGTCTCTTACGAAACAGAAGGAAGGACAAAGAAACACAGTGACACAAAGGAAAGGGAAAAGAGACGTTTCTTTAACTGGATTACTCCGTTAAACTGAACCATGGTAGCTCTTGATATGATCAGTACAACAAAGCCCCGAGTGTCTCACAATGTAAAAACGATGCCATTCCTTTACCTCTCCTCTAAAAAAACCAGAGTTATTTAATATGGAAACATAAACACTCGGAAAAAGGAAAGTAAGAACAACTATTCATTCGTTTGAAATGCGATGTATATTTTGTGGTTGATGTAGGCAGATTAAAATACGGGTTTGCTTAGGTAGGGTTAGCCGATGAACAACTGGAGGTTATGCGACAGTATGTTTAGTGGAGAGAGTATCTGACCGAAAGACTTTAGCCTAACGAGTTCACTATAACTGTTATATATGTTGATTGATACAGCTGTATACAGTTGAACTCATGAGATTGTTTATTGCTACAAAGGACTTTAAAAATATAAAATAAATCTAGCTCCAACTCGCTGAATATTATACAGATGCTGAGATTTGTCTTCACAACACCAGTCAGTAATAACCAGACGGAAGTTAATATGATAAGAAGTTTCAGTCTGTCATATGCGGTTGACAAAGTTTGTCCTATTTCAAACTTTACGCCTTAAACACTGTTTTACTGTAGCCTGTAACATCACACAAGCATATACAATATAACTTAGCAAACTACTAGTGTGGTCTATCAGTCACTTTTATGTGCCACTTTGTTAGCAAGTTTAATTTAGATGTTGCTAATGAATATACATGGACTTAACTGTTCCGCCAGAGTCTTTATAACATACTTGGTGATTGTGTATATGCGAATATGAAAGAAGTCTTCTCTTTGTGTAAAACTAAGTGCTATTGATTGATATGATAAGCCGTATACTACTCACATTAGCCAGTAGTGCTTGCTAGCCATATCGACGTGATCTAAATAATATCGGGGGAGCGTTTAGTTCACTTTCAGTGTAGTTCATCAGCGGTGTATTCAGTCTGCCTCAGATCAGAGAGCCAAATTCGTTCAAACCATCCGATTTCCCGCTAATTTCTTGGTAGAACTGGTTGATATGAGTGGCATATACAACTACTCATCTCAATCAATAAGTAGTATATAACCTTTATGCAAATATGCCTGCTTTCCTGAGTACCATTCATGATATCAAGCAGGTCACATTTTGTTCGCTGAGGAATTTTGGCTTCCAAAAGAAACTATGGTAGAAATTTCACCTCTAGAGCTGTGTAAATTACAAATTGTGAATTTCTGCGTTCACCTAGCCACATAGCTTGTTTTAAATTATGATTACATGTGTAAGAGTAGTATTAATTTAGTATTTCTGAGTTTGGTTACAAGATTTCATTATGAGCTGACATCGGTTAGACAACCTTTGGAAAACCTGCAGGGAGTACCAGACAGCCAGCTGTTTTGTCAGCCTAGTTTGGGACTATTCATCAGTAGGCACCCAGTGCCAGGGTTGGAACCCAGGACCTTCTGGTTACAAGGCGAGCTGGCTCGTAGACCATTCAGCAGCCACTGGCACCTGATCCGATCCAATGGCCAACCAGTTCATGAATTATAACTTTTGCCGATTCATGACAATGGCTTAATGGTCTACGAGCTCGCCTTGTAGGCAGAAGATCCTAAGTCTGAACCTCGGTCGGTACATACCGATAAAAAGTCCCAAAATAGGATGAAACAGTTGCCTGTCCAGTACTCCCTGCAGGTTTTCCAATGGTTCTCTAACCGACGTTAGCTCATAATGAAATCCATGGGAAATTCCCGTTGTAACATACAGAAAATCAAAACAACTGATTCAGCGAAGAGACTCTTTTCAACAACGAATTTATCATCAAAATGTACAATCGTATGTGTATATGGTTTTTAATAAGTTATATCCAGTGAGGGAATTGAATCCTAGGTGTGAATGCATAAAATAATAATAATAATCATATGAAGTTCAATTAAAACTAAAATGTTTGTGATTATAATCGTAGTTAAATGTCAAGTGGCAAATCAAATTAATGTCATATATAGAATAATTCATAGGAGGGATAGAACTTGAAAAAGGTGTGCACTTATAGGACTAGTAGACAAATCGAATAAAATAAGAACGTTACGTAATATTGTGTGGAATTTGACAGCATAGAATTTAACCTTGTCAAAGGAATTGACTTAGAATGATAAATGGAACAAGTGAAATAATACCGGGGACAGTTCAAAGTGAGATTAGTAATAGTAACAATTGACGTAATAAGGAAGAGACTACAAATTGAATAGACAAAATGAAAAATTGGTAGAGCTAAAATATGATTAAGGATTACCATACTTTAGCATACAGGGATTAAGACCATGAACGTTTTTGTGTACACAGAGATCTGGCTTTTCTGTTTCGATAGCTAAAGATGGCTTCAGCAATACAGATGAGTCGGGTACGTGCTGTTTTCGGTAAATTACTTTTTGCCTTGTAGATGACTTTAAAAGCGGAGGCTATAGAGACAGGTTGATCATCACCGACAAGATGTTCAATGATTGCGCTTCTTATTGCTCCACTTCCACCTCTTCGTAAACATGCAGGATAGTGTTCTTGCACACTCTTGGACAAAACTCGAATCGAACTACCGATATACCTAGCTCCACGCGAGCAGGTGAGTTAGTTGGTCAGAAGCGGGATCTTGTCCTTTAGGTTACTGAACAGTAATGGTCGACTAGGAAAGGCTATTCTCAGAGATGCAGCAGGGAATGTTATTAATACTGGAAGCTAGGTCACCCTTGAATTCCAAGCTCATGTACAGTATTTTCTTGGGTGCGGGTGAATGTATATTCTTGTCTATAAAACGCTGTGGAAATCCATTTTCTATTAGGATTCCCCTCAAAAGAATTAACTCACCCTCCACAGTATTAATTCTTTTTTACAACGTTAAATTGTATGCTATCAAATTTCACACAATATTACGTAACATTCTTATTTTATTCGATTTGTTTACTAATCCTATAATTGCATACCCTTTTTTAAGTAGTATACATCCTATGAATTATTCTACATATGACATTAATTGTTTTGCCACTTGACATTTAACTATGATTATAATCACAAACATCTTAGTTCTAATTTCATTTCTGTAGTAATTTATTGTAATCGTGGTTCTAGTATTTCAAGATGACCGAATTACAAGAATCCAAACAAAACACAGAGAGGGCAGAACTCAGGAATTTGTATTTAGCGGAATTATTATGCAATTCATATATGAAACATATTAACAGTCAACAGTAAGTATTTAAACAATGCAGAGATAGAAATTGTCAATCACCACAATTTCATACTACTATTATTATTATTTTATGCATTCACACCTATGATTCAATTCCCTCACCGGTTATAAATTCTTAAAAACCATATATATATATATATATATATATATATATATATATATATATGTGATTGTACAGGTTTATGATATATTCGTTGTAAAGAGTCTCTTCGCTGAATCACTTGTTTTGATTTTCATGATGGATGAAATCCTGTAACCAATCAGTCGAATCCCTACAAACCAATACTTGAATTTGTGAATTTTCTGATGTTAGCTGGCAATAAATTCTATTTTACAGAATATACACATTGGGTCATAGGAGATATTAAGAAGACAGTTGCAGCAAAGAAAATTTTCTTTTCGACGAAGTCATCATCTAGGCTGTACATTCGTGTATTTATATCAAATGGATGGGAAGGTTCCAGAATAATTTCCGGTTAAGGGTCAAATTAATAAAAATTACAATTAGGAATTAGAATACCTTAATAAACAGGGGGACGGATAAAACAGACAAAGTAGCATCATAATAAATAAGAAGATTGACATTGTGCAATTAGGGGTTAGAAATGTAGAAATAACAAAATAGACAGGATGTTTGGATAAGAACTAATGTGGTGAATAATTGTTTATGCAATCAGGGATTAAATGTGTGGAAATAGTAAAATGACAAAATAAACACGAAGTTCGAGTATGAAAATATGGTCGTGTAAACAGGGATTAAGAAAAACTTATGATGGCCATGGCAGCGACAGGGGTTGGACGTATTTCTTTTGGATACAAAGTGTGGGTTTGAGCTTTTGTATAACTAGCGCCTCGGCTATTCCCAAATGTCTTGATTTCTCTCCCTTTGATAGTTTTGATTGGATCTTGTATATTACTTTGAAGGATTTTTCGAAAGGCGCTGAATGTCCTGGATTGACCAGATGTTCTGTCACTGAACTGTATACACGCTTTTGGTCTCCTTTTACTAACCAGGCTGGGTAGTGTTCACGAGTGCGTTTTTTAAGTCGGTGCATAGTACGGCCAATGTACTCAGCTCCACCAGAGCAAGTAAACTGGTATATGCACGCTGAGGTGGCCCAGTACGACAGCTTGTCTTTCGCGTTCTGGCTGAACAGTTTCTTGCAGGAAAACGTCAGTTGTAGGCTCACGGCGAAGTATGTTTTCCTCAGCGATTTGGAGAGGCGTTTACGAAGGATTTCTGCTTCATTGTCACCTTTGAATTCTAGATTAAGCAGAACGGATTGAACTTGTTTGGAAGTCTTCTTAGATTTGAAATTCTTGTCTATGAACCTGGGCGGAAAACCGTTTTCCATCAGGGTTTTTCGGAGATTTTAGACTAAAAACCTAATATTTTCTTCTGTTTGTTACTTAAGAGGCCTTTTTTTTAAAAATGTATTCAATAATGTTTTTCTTCTTTAAAGTTTTGAATAATTTTCATCTTTTGCAGAAGAATGTGACTACTTTCCATATATACCACTTGGAATGACAGATCGATATAATGGGATTATTGATGATCAAATCACAGCATCATCTTCATTCTCAGATCAGACAACACCAAATTATGGAAGACTGCATATATCGGATGGTAGTCTTCTTCTCTTTTCGTTATTTCTAATCAACTTTCCTTTTGTTTTCATGAAATTTCAGCCTATTTATTCGATCAAGAATTACGTAATTCACATTTTTTTTGTCAACTAGTTCATCAATAATAATAATAATTACTTTGTAAATTTATTAGAAGGTGCAGGTGCATGGGTTGCATTAGATCAAGATGATAAACAATGGATACAAATTGATTTATTAAAACGTAAAGTTATACAGAGTGTAGCTACTCAAGGCAGACAAGGTGCAAGACAATGGGTACAAGATTATTACATTTATTATACGGATTCAGATGAACCAGTTCATTGGTCTGTGATAAAAGATGATATGGGTCAACCATTGGTAATTTTTTGTTTTTGAGTTTTAGAATTAAATAACTATTGAAATTTATTCAATTATTCACCCAATTTTTTTTAGCTGTTTGATGGAAATGTTGACGACAATACTGTAAAATTCAATAATTTCTCCTATCCAATTGTTGCGCGTTTTATACGCTTAAATCCACAAAGATGGCGTGATTTAATTTCCCTGAGAATGGAGTTATTCGGTTGTGATTATCGTGAGTGTAACAGGCTTTTAGATTGATTACTTTTCTTTTATAGGTCCATTTGTTGCTTATTTAGATGGTACAAGTTGGATTGACCTACGCTTAGATCTTCCAGGACGTGCAACTCAAACTGTTATGGATGAAATAAGCTTTAGATTTCGTACAAGAGAAGTGAATGGTTTGATATTGTACGGGGATTCAAGTCAGGGGGACTACTTTTGTGTAGAGCTGTATAGGTTGGTAATTTTTTCGTGTAGTAGCTTTTTTGATTATTATGGTATTTCAGTTACTGTGAATTACGAAACAAGATTATTATTATTATTCCCTTGGTTCTTTTCAACTGTCCCTACCATTCTCCTTCTCATACGATCTCCTTCATATCATCCTCGAACGCCCAACTTGTTGCCCCCCCCACTCAGGTTCCACTCGATCTACGGCCTGGCGTGCGATTTAATTCTTTGATCTCGTCAGAGCGTGTTAGATCCATCCTGGGGTTGGAGTCCTCGGGACGGTAAAAACCAATGGCTGGAAACAATTGGTGACATGGCTCAAAATCGTTCTCAGTGGCGCAGATACATCCACTCCTTGTGACTTATGATCTCCAATGAAACTGTTTTGTCCTTCGTTATTACTATTCCTTTGTCTCACACCTGTGTTTACTGTCTCTATTATGCTTTTCTTGTACTTTCTTCTCTTGCTTTGAGTGCTACATGGAGTATGGTGACTTGAACTTCCGCACATATGTGCAAAGTTCTATGTCGAAAACAGACAGACAGACAGACAGACAGACAGTTCGATCCATCTCGTCTCTTTGGGATATTTATTGAACCACAGAAGCTTGATGGGTTCATTCCGAAAGTTTCTCATTGTTAATTACTTCTGTCTGGCAATTTGATTTTCAGTATGGAGCTAGCGAAGTTAGCTGTCGACAAAAGTCTGCGGTAGGGTTATTGAAAGTGTTTCTTCATCCAAGAACTGACTGACTTGAAATTGGTATTGAAAATCCGAATTGTTCTTTATTCTGACTTCAGTAGACTTATAAACTGAGTTCAGAATGATGAATGTCTGCTTTGTATTTCCATTTCTGACTGGCTTTGACATCCTCATCGGTGCTGTCACCTGTCTTTGAAAAGATGCTTCCGTTGATAATGATTGGTGACTTTTGTTGTTGTCGATTGGTTATCTATCTTCTCTATGTCCACTTGAAATCCTGTCTTCACTGCTGATCCCTTTGTGTAAATCTTCAAGTTTGTGTGACAATAGACATTACGCGTCCGCGAAGTTCATATCTTCTACAATCTTCGTATCGGTCCGACTTATTTCTGTCTTCTCGCTGCCTACGCACTGTTTGTTGCAGAATTCAGTCCACTACAGTTAGGAATATCACCGGTTTCAGTATACAGCCTTGTATTACTCCATTCCGTCTTCATTTCAAAGACTTCGCGGAGTTTTCCTTTGTAGAGCACTCGGCATTTTCAAAATTGGTAAGGGAAGTTCCTTATTTGTGAATGTGATTGTTGTGGTTGAAGTATTCTGTGGATCATTGTTTATTAAAACAGAGTTCTGGACAAAACTGTCACCGCCAACACCAGTGATGAGGATTTCGAAACTTGTTTCAGAGTGTTATTTTCTTATAAAATGCTGATTTGATTAAATTATTAACCCTAAGGAACAAAAATTATGATCAGCATAATTACCATTAGCAGAAATTGTTATACGCAAAACTGCCATATTTTTCTGTTTAACAGTGGGCTTAGGTAGGGTTGCCCACTCACTTCATTTCTTCTTAACTTTTCCATCGATGACATTCTGGAGTCAGCTCTGAAGGACTTGTGTGGTGGCGGTGTAGATCTGTTTACTGAAGAAAGACTCTCTGGCCTCGTGAATGCAGACGATATCGTCTTACTCTGCGATGGCATGTAGGCTGTCCAGACCTCACTTAATCAGTTAGAGATCAGTGTCCGTGAGTGTAGAATGTGCTTTATGTTAAGTGCAAAGTACTGCTGCAAGATTGGCGAGAGCCTGTGCCTTGAAGGTGAACCATTTGAAGTTGTCGATAAGTTCGTATATCCGGGAGGTTGTGTGATTGTCGGTGGAGGTATGACAGCCGAGATCTCTGGCCGTATAGTGAAAGCTATGGTGGCATATGCCAATTTGAGTCTTTCTCAGCGCAGAGGTAGAGCTTACAATGACTCAGTGCTCACAGTATCGCTCTAAGCCTGTGAAGCTTGGCCTCTGCAAGTTGAAGATGTTCGACGATTCTGCGTATTCGGTCATTGTTGCTACCACAGAACTGTCTGCAACCAACAGCATCATTGTGTGAACAGCCCTGAGTTCCGGCAGCATGTATTTGGACACGGTAGAGATCACCATTCATTGAGTATAGCCATTTGTGAACACCACCTTCGGTGACTTGTAAATGCGTTGTGGATGTCACTCAAGCTCTATGCGTAGGCGCTGAGACTGGATGCAGAAAGCGGAGAGGTAGTCAGCCTATGACGTGGCGTTGTGGAATAAAATATATTTGTGTTAGGTTAGCACCGGTTGGGGTCCCAAAGACATTTCAGATTGGTGTCCAATGATTATGAAATAAAAATTAGTCACATTGAACTTATTCACATGTGTAGTTTTAAACTAATCGATTCCTACTTCCATATTATCACACAGTGAAACAGTATTATTATTTACTGGATGAAGTTTCGAACAAAATTTATTGTTCATAATCATATCATAAATTGTAATCACATGACTTTGAAACTTGGGTTTTGTAGTCTTCTTTGTTTTCTCCTATTTGTCGTTGTAGGGGTAGTAGAATTTTCCAGATATCGTGATGGACAGGTGTTGATCATTCCTCTTACATGTATTTGCAGTTGATTCGATAAACAAAGCTTCCGTAGTTATCAATCTCTCCCTCCACCCTGTGACATCAGATTTTAAAACTGCCATCTTATCCCATTCATGCTATTGTATGGTTGTGTGTAATTGCATGTAGTGCTATAGCTGAACTGCTATCTAGATTTCTTATCTTATTTGGGTCAACCAATCTAGATTTAGCTAGGTTTTTATGTTCGGCTAGTCTGAATGGCCCTGTTCTACTAGTTTGACCTATGTATTTGACCTCACAATCATTGCAGGGTATTAGATAAACTAAATTGTTCTGTTTTAATGGCTCTACAGGATCCTTTAACCGACAAAGCTTGTTTCTAATTGAGTTTGTGGGTTTGAATGCCACTTTTATTCCTGCCTTGTTAAGAATTCTTCGGCGTAAGGTTTCCAAGGCTCCTTCTTTCCATGGAATTAATACTGATGATTTAGATTCCTTATTGTTGGTGTCGTCATTAATATTATTATTATTATCACTATTATTTTTGTCATTATTATTGTTATCATTATTATTATTACTATGATTATTTATTTTATTTTTACATTTCCTTGCATATTTCCTGACTAATTTATCCGGGTAATTATTAAGCTTCAAGGCTTCTTTTATGTGTATCACTTCCTGTCTTCGATTTTCCTTGGTACTACTTAGTTTTTGTGCTCTGTCACTGAAACATTTCACCAATTTTATCTTTACTGACATAGGATGAGATGATCTGAAGTCCAAGTATTTGTTTGAATGTGTGGGTTTCCTGTAAACACTAGTGTTTAACTTCCCATCTTCTTTCCTTTTTACGTTGCAATCTAACATTGGAAGCTCCCCTTCCTGACTTTCCAATTCATAAGTGAATTGAATTGCCTCCTCGTTAGAGTTATTGTGTTCGAAAAATCTGTCTATATCTTGTGTACTAAGTACAGTGAATGTGTCATCTACATTTCTCCACCATACTTTTGGGGTGGGGGTGAACGTTTCAATCGCTATGTTTTCCCACCTATCCATGTATATTTGTGCTACAACCGGGGATATTGGTGATCCCATGGTAACTCCCTCAGTTTGTTTGTATATTTTCCCTTAGAATTTAAATACTGTGGAAGTCAGGCAAAGCTGCACTCCTAGCATTATGTCCTCAAGTGAACACTTTTGTCCTAAGTTCGAGCTCTTGGTCAGAAATGAGTTCGTTTCTGACCGCCTCTATAGCCATATTTATTGGTATACGTGTATATAAACTGACAATGTCAAAACTAACCATTTTTTCTTCATTATCTAATTTTAAATTATCTAATCTGTGTTTTAGTTCATAAGAATTGGTCTAGATTTCGAGTGACTTTTTAAGGGATTTAATACGATTTCTAATTGTTTCATGTTAGGTTTCCTGCGATTCGTGATATGTTTACAGTGTTCAAATGAAATCTGATTTAGGAACGTTTACTTCACTCCTTAGTTATAAAAATATTATTAGACATTCTGCACTATGTTCAAGTAGAATTTCAATTTATATGCGAAGTGTCTAATATCTTAAGCTAATTTGACACTTTTTATATTTGACTACTAACTAATAATCAGTAGTCATAATCTTAATCAGTGGTCAACAACTGTCCTCCAGTATCAAAGTTAACAAATGAAATGGAAAATGAATCTAAAATAATTTTTTGTTTTGATATTGAACCTAGAAGAAGAGCAGACGAAACTTTAAGGAGGTCCATACATAGGAAAACCATATGGAACAGCCAACTGACAAGTTTCTACAGCTAGGTACTGATTGGACGTAAACGGAACCTAGTTAAACCTCCCGCTACTCGCGTTCTACGCATCTACAACCCTGATGCTCAAAAAGAAAAGTTAGAGTTTTTGAAAGAGATCTTCATGCAAAATTGTTGTCCACGCAACATTTAAGACCATTTTTCTCAGAGACGCTAAGAATAGTATTCTTCAGTCACCCACCGGTCTGCAGAAGCCCAAAGGAGGACGGGATCTTGCACCTGACCACTTCTAAGTATGTATCCTAGTTCACCAGTACTTATGGGGCCAAGTATATTGTTCGTTCGACACGGATCCTGTGTAAAAGCGTTCCAGAACACTATCCAGTGTGGTTGCACACAGGTAGCAGTGGCTCTATAAAAACTGCCATCAGCTGTTTAGCATCTTCTTACTGTCATTAAATATACTATTGTGTGGAAGATACAGACTCGCTTACTTTCTTTTGAGATGCCTTCTATCACTAATTTGTATTATATACGTCTGTTTTTTCAGAGGAGATTACGAGTTCGTGTTAATCTTGGCACAGTTCCATTATCCAGTGAACCCACTGATAATACGGTGGATGCAGGCAGTCTGCTAGATGATGATCAGTGGCATGATGTTAAAATCATTCGAGAACAAAAGAATTTAAACATATCTGTTGATAGAATTAAGGTGTGGAGGAACATCTCAGCTATATTCCTACATATGAACATGAATCGAAATGTAAGTTTAACACGGTAAATTTAGAATATATTGGTATTTAGCAATCTAATTAGTTAACCCACTCGTAAGATTTAGGTATGATAGAGAAGATTTGTAGCTCAGTGGATAATTTTGATGTGGTTGTGTTCTCTGAAATGGATGGTTGATTTGCGAAGCTTTCATCAGCCTACTAGATGACATCTTCAGCGCATACTTCAATTCGTTGAAGTGAGCTTTTAGATTTCTCCACGAGTTTATTAATCATCTCTCCTGGTGACCTTGAGTGTGATTGGTTGTTTTTGTGTGTTTTCACACCTTCTAGGCTACTTGTATTGGAACTGATTGTTTCTTTGACTTGAACTTTGACCCTTTGTGTGTGAAGCTTCTTTCTTATCGGTTGCTAAATTTTGTCTATCTCGATGTGTTAATTGATTGATGATTCACTGGAATACCAGGCAGCTTCTTAAGATTCTGTAGCATTCTTGTTGTTTCCTCTGTCTAATATTTGAACGTTAGTTGTCCCAGTCGAATTGATTCCGTAGTTGTCTGTATGTAGTGAAATGAGAGAGTGGATATCATGTCTTTTGACGGCTAGCTTATATTCATAAGGTCACCAGGAGAGATGATTAATAAACTCGTGGAGAAATCTAAAAGCTCACTTCAATGAATTGAAGTATGCGCTGAAGATGTCACCTAGTAGGGTGATGAAAGCTTCGCAAATCAACCATCCATTTCAGAGAACACAACCACATCTAAATTTGTTAACCGGCAGATGTTCAGTGGTTTGGATTTTATGACTTTAGACTTTCATCAGTACACTCAGTAGAACAAAAAAAAACTCTCCGATGACACTGGCTGGTGTTAACGCTACAATTACGAACTGGTGGAAGTTGGAATTCATTGGCTCGGTGTCGGACCTGGTTCCATTGGCTGAATGGTTCGCGAGTTTGCCTTGTAATTGGAAGTTTGAGTGTTCGAACCCTGGTGGCTGGTTACTGTTGAAGAGTCTAGGAACTAGGACCAAACAGCTCTCCAGTACTCTCTGCTGGTTTTCAATGGTTCTCTAACTGATATCAAGCTGCGATCAAACTTGAAACATATTCACTATTATTTTAGCAGAATATAACATCATGTACTGATGGTTCTGGCGCTTATAAGTCAGTCAGATAAAGTAGTTCCATGACTAAGAGGCTAAGAAATGCCTTAAACCCTCTAGTTTTCTCACCGTTTCTCAGCTCTTGACTTGGTAATGTGCGCTTGTGGTAATTCATATAATGACTACTTTGGTGCTAAATTCCTTTTTATATTTTAAAATAATATTCTAGCTATCAGTTGGAGGTTTGCCAGACTTTTCAAATCGACGGGGTGTAAGCGTCAGTCAAAATTTTATCGGCTGCATAGAAGAGTTTATTTTCAATGGTGTACACATCATAAGAGATGCTCAACGATCATTGATGAAAATTACTCAATCACAAACTGTCAATGGTAATCTAGAAATCCCGTGGGAAGAAGCTCTTGGCTATCCAAAACGCAATTCTTTTCTATGGTGGGGTCCACCGGTTACTGAAGAAAAACTGAATATCAGTGGTTTGGCTATCGGTGGCTCAGGCGTAATAGGAACAGAATGTCCAGGTGGTGTGATAGACAATACTGTTTTAACATTTCCTGATGTTCAACAGTATATTGTTTTTTAAAAATTGAACGAGATGGCGGGACAAATGTTTTACAATTTGAATTTGGTTTTCGAAGTCTTAATAGAGGTGGAATATTATTTTATCATACTGTTGATAAGGATAATAATTACATATCTGTAAGTTTATATTGTCTTTAATAATTAATCATACCTGATAAGTCTTTTATTTAATGGAGATCTGAATTTATCTGTTAACAAATATCAAAAGTAAACGCGCTGGAAGGAAAACATATCACTACGTAGTTAAACTTAAAACAGATCAAATCCCAAACAAACTAACTCTTGCAAATTAATCTGATGCTCACTAGTGACCGACTACAGAGTGAAATTAACTAGAGTTCTAGCGAGAAGTCGTGACTATCAGGGTGTACCATGTCGGTTGTGAGGATATGCTAAAATTACGAATTGGTAGAAGTTGGAATTTATAGGCTAACCATTGGATTGTGTCCCAGTGCTTGAATGGTCTACAAGCCTATTTTGTAACCAGAAGGTCCTGGCTGTGATTCCCGGGAGTAAGTACTGCCGATGTGTCGGTGGCACAGTGGTTAGGACTCTCGCCGACCATGTACATGGTCCGGGGTTCGAGCCGCACCGACGCACCTGATATCTATGGTCGGCCTGCAAAATTTGGGCTACCGATATCCATGCTGAAAATTCCATACTTGTACCAAAAGTACAGTGTGGAATCAAGCTGTAAATCAAAAATCAAAATCAAAATCAAATGAGTCCCGAGGTAGGACGAAACAGTGGTCCTATAACTGATATCAATCCGTAATCAAACTAGATACAGACTAACTCGTGAAAACTAGAAAAACAAGAGGACGTAATTTTATCTGAACCTCTGAAGTGAATGCATACTTAAATGTCTGCCGAGAGGAAACCTTTAATGATTAAGATAAAGCTCAGACCTATTTGGCGACTAGACATCATGTTTCAGTAAATAAGTTTCAAGTGTGCGAACTGCAGGCTTCTATTGCACTACTGACACAACAATCGAAGTTCTCCATTCAAATCTTCTGACAGCAACCGCTGAAAGACAGGAAATTCGAGAAGCCGATTTTAGGCTTAAAATCGTGAAATTATTTATGTTAAACTCAAACATGTCATACTCTAAGCCTAAAGCCTAATGAGCCCACATTCCATTCGAAAGAAAAGTAAGAACAAGTTCATACTTAAAGTGTAAACAGCTGCAATATAACTTTTAAATATTCCCACTATGATAATTATAGAATATGATTTCGGCAAGCAAATATATATTTTCGATAATTTCTCATCAGGTTTTACGATTACATAATAAAATAGCAGTCATAGACATTTGAAACAATATCGATCAATAAAATCAAATATAAGCGAGGGGGATTTAAGTAGAATAATAATAGTAATAAATTGGAAAACTAAGAATAAAATTTATCACCGGCAACTCGACCAGAATTACCACCACCAACAACACTCACGGAAACGCCGGTGTCACCAATCCTCCAACGAAAGAAGAAATCCTGAATGCAATCAGGCTGCCGAAGGCAATCCAGGAAGGCAACAGGACTAGACGGTGTTCCTCTTGAAGCACTGAAGACGGCCCCAGAGATTACGGCCAATGTTCTCATTCCATTACTGCAAAAGGTTTAGAAGGAAGAAGGAAAGGTGCCTACTGATTGGAAGAAGGCTTCCTCGTCAAGCTGCTAAAGAAGGACGACTTACGCCTCACTGTGCAAGAACTGGCATGGAATAATGCTCTTGTTCATGCCAAGTAAAATACTATGTCACATCATCCTGGAGAGAATAAGAGATGCACTGGATACAGAACTCCTCCAGGCGGAACAAGTTGGATTCAAGAAAGGCAAATCATGTGCTGATCAAATAGGAACTCTAAGTATTGTCATCGAACAAAGCATAGAATGGCAGTCAAATTTCTATCTCAACTTCATCGGCTTCTAAAAAACCTTGGACGGTGTAGACCAAGAAGTCATTTGCAAGCCTACTTCAACACTACAGCGTGCAGTGTCCAAGTCATTATCAATACCACATGACAGGTGATCCACCGTGAGAAATTCAGTGAAGTCTTTGAAGTGCATACAAGAGTAAGACAAGCTGGATGCCTATTATCACCGATGATATTCTTAATTCTGGTAGACTGGATTATGTGTGTCAGACTGTGCATGGGGAACGAGGAGACAGGAATACGCTGGATCACCGGCAGTAAGACCCTAGAAAATCTGGATTTCGCAGATGACAAATGTTTAATGGTACACAAACTTGAAGACTTATAGGCAAAAACCAACAAACTGGCTGAATACTGGACTCAAGGTGAACATAGAGAAGATGATGGTAACCAAAAAATCGCAAAAAAGACAACAACTAGTGTAACAACAGAAGACAAGGGCCAGGCAACAGATCGTTTTATTATGAAAATCAACACGTATTTATACATATTTCACATACATTATTATAGACAAGCGCAGTCATCTGATTGGTTGTTTATCAGAAGTTAGGCAGACAAACGCAGGCTTCTAATTGGTTGTTTCGAGATTCCTCGACAAATAGAGTTCTCTATCTGCGAATCATATTTTGCCACGTTAACTTTGCTGTGATTGGTTGTTGAATCAGCCTTGTTCATATTTTCTCACGGCCCATATTAACGTAGCTTAGTGTCAACCAATCGGCTAGCAGCCTGCTCTCACCACACTAGCACCAATGATCATGAATGGGAGAGATCCAACAGAGGTTACCTCCTTCACTTATCCAGCCAGGAAGCATCATTTCAAATACCAGGCAGTCAGAATGGATGAAGATATGTCAAAACGAGTCAGAATCGCAAAAAGACAAGATACACCTTCATCAACCTGAAACCAGTTTGAAAATCTTCTGTACTGTAATCCTCAGCACAAAGAACAAGATTCGGATTTTCAACACAAATGTTGAGTCAATCAGTTCTTCTTTTTGTGGATCAGAAATTTGCACCGCGTGTTACGAAAAGGATTTTCAACAGGTTGTGAACTTTCATCATCAGCAGCTGCTGTCAGTCCATACTTAAGATTAAATGGACAGAAAAAAAATTAGCATCAAGAAACTCTGGGAACAAACCGACCAAGAGGTGATCGCTCAACAAATATGTAGGAGAAAATGGAGATGGATCGGTGGGGCATACATTGAATAGGCTGCCGAATGACATCGCACGCCAAGCCATAGGCCCAGTGTAATCCCAATTGGAAGCGACGAGTGAATTGTCATAGGGTGACACGGAGGACATCGTGTGAGTTGGAGGATGAGATGAGGGGGTTTGGTCAATCGTGGACCCAGCTAAAGAGGATGGCAGAAAACAAAACAAAGTGGCGGGTGCGTACTGATGAAGAGTCCCAAACTAGGACGAAACAGCTGTCCAGTACTCCCAGGTTTTCCAATGGTTCTCTAACTAATGTCAGCTCATGATGAAATCCTGAAACCAATCAAATCCCTGCAAACCAACACTTGAATACCAATGAGATGCTCACTGGCGACTGGCCCTATTCAGGTAGGTAGTTACCTGGGTTCCGGTGGGAAGTCGTGGCCAGTAGGGTGCAGCTGGTCGGGTGTGAGGACAAATACTCGCCGAAGACATTGGCTAGCGGTTGAGCTATGTCGTGAATTGGCAGAAGTTAGAATTCAAGGTCCACTGGATCGGGTCCCAGTGGCTTAATGGTATACGAGCTGCTCGCCTTGTAACCGGAAGGTCCTGGGTTCGAATCCCGGCGGGTGCGTACTGCTGAAGAGTTCCAAACTAGGACGAAACAGCTGTCCAGTGCTCCCAGGTTTTCCAATGGTACTCTAACTAATGTCAGCTCATGATGAAATCCTGAAACCAATCAAATCCCTGCAAACCAATACTTGAAAGTGGAGATGTGTTGTTGAAGCCCTATGTTCCACTCGGAACGCAAGGTTTACTGACTGACTGACTGGCTGACTGACAGTATGATATTGATAATAAAGTTAACAGTACACAGAAGAATAATATTTAACTTTATTCGGTGTCACTGGGAGAGAATACCGTCCTAGGTTAGGGTTGAAGGGCATGGGAAGGATAGGGATTGATCAGACTTTTTTCTGAACACAGAGATTGGATTAAATTTTTTTTTTATAACAACTGCATCACGTGTGCTTAGCGAAAGAAGGCGTACAAACTTAGGGAATTGAGATGGCATTCAAAGAGGCGTCAGTGGGCTTTCCGAGTCATTCTATCTATATAGCTATCTCCACAAGAAGAGCTAAATTTATAAATGCACACTGAGATGGCCAAACTTGGTAGTTTATCTTTCACCTGCACTAGAATTACGCAGCGATTGATGAATTTTAAACATAGTCTTGTGGCAAAGAATGGTTTAGCTACTATTTTTTTGAAGTTTTGATATCAGTTATTCAGTGTTCGCGTCTCCTTTTAGCGGTAAATTCATGTATATATATATATATCTTTTGCACCGTTTGCATGTATTTCTTTCTATCTTATCTCTTCATGGAAACTTTAATAAATCTTTCGAGGTATCCATTTTCATATAATGAGTTTTCTACTTCTTTTATTTCGTTGCCAAGAGTGTCGGTTGTGCAAATTTTCTTAACACTACACTTCAGGGTACTGATATAAATTCGCTTGTATGCAAGAGGAACAAACGATCTGAAATGGGTGTAACTGGCCAACTGATGCCTTTTTGTGTAAAATATCTCGCTTAATACTGACATCCCTCCTTATTGTTAACAGGACATCAAGAAATGATAAAGCGTTATCTTTCTGTATTTCGTTTCTGAATCCAACCTGTAGGTGAGCCGTACTGGACATTTCGAGAAGGAACTCAGTATCGATTTCATTCTTATACATGATAAAACAATCATCCGTGTATCTACAGTAGAACCAGAGTTCATTGATGACAGGATTCATCTCAGTGATGTAATGAATGATGTAAAACTGTGTCAAGAGTTTCTCGACATGTCTGAGAATATAATTAAACACAAAATGTTTCTCGATGACCCCCAGGATTCATACCGAGAGATCTCCAATTGTATACTAATTAGTGTACTAAATGATTCTAATTCTACCTAACCTTTTAATTCTATAGAGTATCTGTCTTTAGCCATGACCCATCCAATAAAGTGAGCGATTACCTTATAGGGTCTTAAATTACCAGCAATACTTCAATTAAATAGTACAGTAAGAATAATTCGAATTTATCATATACACTAAGACTTGAATGTGAAAATGACCCTGGTTTCTTGTTAAAAAGGTATTGATGAAAGCGTTTTGTAAGATATTTGGCAAGCGTAGTACATGTCCTGTAGTCAGAAAAGAAAATTTAATATTTCTCCAAGAGACGTACACCTCTAGGCGAGTAAAATGAAATAAATTTGAGTTAATCAGTGTTCAACAGTTATCCGATCTACTGGAATCGGTTGAATAAATAATAATAGTGAAAGAATCTTAGTTTCAGTTCGTTAAGCAGTCAACTAGCCTGGATGACTGTTTTTATATTGGTCAGTTGCACTGAGAAGAAACTAATGTCATCTATGTCTTCTCCTTAGCGTGGGTGCGAATAGAATTTCGCTAGTAAAGTTTGTCATATGAACATCAATTTAGGAAACTTACTATTACGTCGGCAATTACCTTCGATCATTTAACAGTAAAGTGAACTTTATAAGCCTTACTTGGGAGTTGGGGAAACCTAAAAATATTATCTCAGCATCCAACGATTATTTCATGGTAAATATTAATGTACACTTGTAGCGAAAGAAGACAAGAGTCAGGCAACAGATCGTTAATTGAGAAAATCAAGAGATATTTATGTATTTTTCTGTACATTATTATTCGTTATTGTTAGCAGAGAAGTAATGTCCTTTGATCGGTTGTTTTCCTGTTAAAGTTATTCTGTCATCACTTTGTTACTGTTCCTTAGACAGTCGTTAATATGTCTACTAATCGTATCCACCCACGTTAAGTTGGGGCTGCGAATGGTTGTTGAGTTCCTCAAGGTTAGGCTGCCTTCTTGTTTTTCTTACGACCCAGATTTAGGATGTAAACAACCAATTCAATTGTTGGACGAAGTTTAACAATAGCGTTTCAGGTGTAAGAACGATCCAATGACCTTGAATGCATGGTAGTCGTTGGCTAACTGCACCTGTCATTTTGGTAGCCGAAATATCAAAGCTATTTCACCAACTAAGCAGCGAATTTCACTCAGATCACATTTGTAAGTACTGTCTGGATAATGTGTTAGTAGCTCGTTAGGGTTAGGATTAGGTTTAAGGTAAGTATTGGGGTAAGGGTTAGGATTAGGGTCATAATAAGGATTGAGGTTAGGTTTGCGGTTAGGATAGGGGTTGTAATTAGGGTCAAGGTTAAGGTTAGTGTCAGTGTTAAGCTTAGGATTTGGTTCAGGACTAAGGTTGGGGTTAAGATTAGGGATAGATTTAGAGTTGGTGTCATTTATTTTCGAATTTGTTTCATTATCCACATTTTCCCAGTAAGTAGTCGTCGATCCTCTTACTGGAAACCATGGTAATTTAGCCGACAGCTTTTGGGTAAGGCTACACAACAGGATAAGAGAGATAAACTATCCACAAAAACAGCTCATCTTCAGTCACCTCGGTGAATACGTGTACAGAAACTAGTCTAACTTAGCAACTGAAACTCCTCATTATAACTGCGACTTATTTCTAATGCATGTCAGGAAAGATACTTGATTAATGTATTTTCATGCATTTTCTTGTAAATATACGTCATTTATTGTACAAAAATTCCTCACTTTTATGATTGGTTGGCTGAGGATCACTCGTGCTTTCGCATTCCTGGGACGTTATCGTTGAACTTTGCCAATTGGTGTCTACAATTTGTCTTGCAGACAGCTCTCACCACACAATAATAATTGCTCCAGATAATTTCCACAATTGCTTATCTTTCACCATATATTTTATTGGTCATTTGGAATTCATTTTCGAATGGCCAGCCAGTCCATGAATTCTAACTTCTGTCAATTCATCACACAGCACGACCACTAGCCAATGTATTATTCGATGAGTTACTGCCTCACCTTCAACCTAGTGCACCGTACTGATCACGGCTTCTCACAAGAACCCCAGGTTAGCTGCATGAATATGGCCAGTCGCTAGTGAGCATAATATGAACTGTCACGTATTGGTTTTGTAGGGAATTTTGTTTGATTGTTTGGAGAATTTCTGAAATAAGATATCATGAAAATAGTTTTTCTGTTAAATCTATTTATATTTTTCCACTGAAATTTTTTCTCCATTTTAACAGTTTGGCATGGAAGATCATACTGGACATTTAACCTTGGAAATTATACTGCCTGGTGTATATATTATTAAATATACCATACAGAATAAAGATTCTGCAGCCAGTAATGGAACATTGCGGATGGTTTATGGCATTCTGTTAAATTCAGTATGTCACAAAATTTAGTGAAGCTTACCGTGGATAACATTGTCTACACTACTGTACAAAATATGACATTACCGGTAAGTTATATTGTTATTATTATTATTACTCAATTGGGTTCCGAGTGGAACATTGGGGGATTCAACAGCACATTCCCATTTTCCCCTGCTTTCTGCTGTTCTCTTAAGCTGACCTAACGACTGCCTAAAGACTCTCGTCTCTTTACAAAAGATCCCTCCTATTTCATCCTGTGACCCACAAACAACTAATCGTTTTCCATTCGGACTCCACTCCATCAATGGTTTGGCGTGAGATGTCATTCGACAGTCTTCTCAGGATGTGTCCGATCCATCTCCGTTTGTTGATCAATAGGTTCCTAATTGATTGGCTACTAGAGTTTTAATTATTTCTTCACTTTCTCAGTGGAACATAGGGCACTTCAAGTTAGAGGCTTGAAGTCTTTGTAGCAATGGTGTTTATTTTTACAGGATGGGGTTGCTAGCCTCATGACCAACCTCTGCTCTTTACCAGTCTTACTACGCCTAGCGAGGTAAAGGAGTATGTCCATGGCCGGGGATCGAACCCCGGACAATGTGGATAGTCGGCGAGCGTCCTAACCGTTGTGCCGCCACCGACGCAGCTACCAGAGTTGCTTGTTGCTAATCCTTTATGGTCATTTCAGCTTCAATATACAGAGAAGTCAACTGCTGTTCGAAACGCTTTTCATGACGCGCGTGTGTCAAGTTTCTGACCCATATGGAACAATTAACTTACTTGACAATGAAGTTAAAAATCTGAATTTTTTTTTTCCTGATTATGGGTGGAGCAGATTTCCAAACTGATTTCACAGTGTTGTTGAAGGTCTTCTTTGCCTTTCCATTCGGGTTTTGGCATCCTCATTCTTTATACTTTTCCAAGCGTAAAGCTGACATTTCATAATTAGTTGATAATTTATGTACTACGTGACACTACTTAGTTATATCAGTAAGCAGTCCATGGTAATACTAAGTGGTGATTTCATCCACAAATCCTGATAAATTTAAGACCAAGTTTGCAGTGTAAACTGGTCTCATCACTTCTATTTCACAGGTTCACATCAGCTACAAACCATTATCTGAAATCACAGTGGTTATAAAAAGTGAACATAACATACTTCAATGCGTGAATAGTAGTAGAGAAAAGATTATAAGATATTTAAGGAGGCATCCAAAATGTTAGCATTACAATTATCAGTTTAAGTTACCATTAATTTATATACTTTCAATGTGGAAAAAAAAGGAGGGTGTGGAGAGGAGAAAATAGACACATCTAATCAACATAGTTTGTAGTTTGTAGCTTTATGGCGTACTTAAGAGGATTCCAATTATTATGCTATAGTACATCCACATTTTTCGCGTTCTAATATGTGCTAATGCTATACACGGTCAACGACAAACAACGTTGTATTAAGAAGCACAAGTGAAAACTTGAAAAGATGTATTGTTAACGAAATTGAATTTGAAAAGCGCTAGATGAACTAAGAAAGTGCATAACCGCGTAAATATATGTGTAACAAATGAGAATCAATATTCAATAATACAATGGCAAATATTTAACCGGCATAGGCGTACAACATGCGTACATGAATTAGTTTTATAAGCGTACGGTTAAGCGTACATGTGCCGACAACAGCCCATGTCAAGTGATTCACAACGGAAAACTCAGCGAAGCGTTTGGAGTAAACACAGGAGTCAGACAACGGTGCTTATTATCACCAATGAATGATATTCCTAATGTGGTGGACTGACTGGATTATGCGTCAGACAGTGAGTGGGAAACGAGAAGACAGGGATATTCTGGACCGACCGACGTGAAAAACCTAGAAGACCTGGATTTCCTGGGTGGATGATTTATGTCTGATGTCACACAAAATCGAAGACTTACAAGCGAAAACCAACAAATTGGTCGAAGAAGCAGCCAGCGAAGACAGGACTCCAGGTGAACATAGACAAACGGAGGTTATGAAAATAACCAACCAACCAACCAACACAACAACGGCAGCAGCAAAATCCAGCGCCAATCACCATCAACGGGAGTGATTTGAAAGAGGTTACTTCATTCACTTACTTATCTAGGGAGCATTGTCTCAACTACAGGAACGGAGGAACGGACGAGGATGTCAAATCGAGAGAAAATCATCGGGAAGGCGAGAAACACAACATTCATCAACCTGAAACCAATCTGGAAATCTTCGTCACTCAGCCAGCATCAACACAAAATTCGGTCAGATTTTCAATACAAACAACGTCAAGTCAGTCAGTTCTTCTATACGGATCGGATGAGAAACTTGGTGGGTGGGTGGTTCACAAAGAATATTTCCAACAGCCTGTTGCAGATCTTTATCAACAATTAACTGTCTTCGCTCTTCGCTATACTGAATGATGATCAGATGTCCAGGCCGGAAAGAATCACCAAAAGCAAGAAACTATGGAACAAACAAAACAAGAAGGAATCGCCAACCAACAAATATGCAGGAGGAAGTGGAGATGGATTGGACACTCGCTGGCTGACATCGCGCACGCGTCAGGCCATTTCTCGAGTGGAACCCAAAGGGAAGCAAGCGGCGAGTGGGACGTCCAAGGGTGGGTGACATGGAGGAGATGGTGTGAAGAGGAGTTGAAAGAGTATGGACTGAGATGGATGCAGGTGAAAAGTACAGTGGAAGATAGAAGCAAGTGGGGACGTGCAGTTGAAGCCCTATGTTCCACTAGGAGCCAAAGGGAACAACAATAATAATAATACAGTTAGGCTTAATATAGGGTGGCTACATCTTCATATAGCGACTCAAGAAGGTTTTATTTCAGATTATTGCAAATTGGCTCGGTGGGCTGAAATCCCTGATATGGTTGACTAATCAGTGTAATCAAAATGCAGTTACCTAAGTGATTGAGAGATTGATTACACTCTTTTTCTGTATGCGTAAGTTGGTTGAAATGTTTGATTGCAATTGCTTCAACAGATTGTAGTAAATCTGCTGTCCTGTATAGTGCTTAATTTTTGAAGGATTTGGAAATCTGGACGAAGTGACTCGTATGCAAATGGTGTCTGGTAATTGCACATCGCGTATATCTGCTTCTTTGCAAACATATGTTTCTTGGAATATGCTCCGAAAACCGGATATACTCTTTCTTCTTTCTATCCTCCTATAGTAATTTTTGAGTAATGTGGATTTAAACAGAAAAAAAATGATTTACGCCTGTAAGGATTTCATCGCTTCAGAGTCCCCAACTAGGACGGAACAGACATCCAGCTTTCCATAATTTCCAACAATCAATAAGTGATATTGTTTCATGGCAAAATGTATTTTGAAATAAAGTAGAGTTTAGACATCTTCGATATCTATTTTATTATTTATGACTGTTGGCTTTACTGTTCTTTTACAGTTGTATTTCGATAAAGTCTCATATATTGGTGGTGGTCGACCTCAGCGTTATTCATTTCAAGGTTGTCTACGACAGATACGTATTAATGGAATTGATGTGGAATGGGATAAATTAGATCCATCAGCTCGTCATCGAAGTATTATTAACGGGAGTTGTATGATACAAGATCGATGTAATCCAAATCCATGTAAACATGAGGCTCCATGTTCACAGACTGGTGCCACTTTTTACTGTGATTGTACAAACACTGGCTATGCAGGAGCTGTATGCCATCAAAGTGAATATTTCACATCATGTTCAGAAGCTGGACTATTTTATTCACTTCAACAGTCGACAATCAACATAACTATTGATATGGATGGATCTGGTGTATTAAAGCCTATTGAGGTGACATGTGATTTCACAGGTAAGCAAACGACTATCATCTCTTCAATATGTGAGATGAAAAGAAAAGTATTTTTTGAAATTATAACAATCACTAATATTATCTGTCGATTGTTAGTATTTATTTTTCTTAATATTATTTTATTCCCTTACTTTCCAAGTGGAACACAGGGATTCAAGTTGGGGCTTTGAAGTTTCGATAGCAGTGGTGTCATTTTACGTGTGTGTGTGTGGGGGGGCTAGGTGGCTAGTCCCTCGCCCTGTAGCCTTCCCTTTACACTGTGCTTACTACAGGCTTAGCGAGGTTTGGGAATGCGCCAGCCGGGAATTGGGCCTCAGACCCTATGATGTGTAGGAAGATAATTGTCCTGGAGAAAAATATTTCACTATCACCTCAACAAATCCCTTTGTCACTTTTCTAAAACTCAACTTTTTTATGTTTTAAATTTTTGTCTGTATTTTTTGATTGATCACTGGGTATTAATCAATATGTCATTTGTCTAGTTCTTGATTTAGCTACAGACTGGATTCTATCAGTCACCATACTAGGTGACTCGTCATCACAGTCCACTATGAGTTGTTGTTATTAGATGGTTGAAAACAATCGGCAGGAGGCTTTGCTTGGCCTAAGTTTCGTGCTTGTCGGCACTAATCAGTCATTAAGGCGTGTACCTTCAATCTGGAAGGGACTCATATCTCCTCGGAGGTTCGAACCCACGGCATCCAATGCCGCTCTTAGAGACGTTATTATTAAGCCATTATGGTTCGGGAAGCACCCCCAGTAGGACTGTGATGGTAACTTCTCTGGCTGTAAAACTGGATGACTTGAGTTGGGATCTTAAAGAGGAAATGAATTCTTTCAAGACTACAGATACACGCCTTAATGATTGGTGAATGCCGACAAGCAGGAAATCTAGGTCAGGCAAGGTTTCCTTATGATTACTTCTAACCATCTAACATCAATTTAGTGTACGGCGTGACGGCGAGTCACCTAGCATGGTGACCACATTTCAGACTTGACTGACAGAATTTAGTCTCCATCAACCCAAAGACTAGACGCACGACATTAGTTACTACATAGTGTATTTTCAATGTGGATCAGCATGAATTTTGTGCTGGCAGTGTACGGTATTTTGTTAGGCTATTCTTAATTGCATTAGGAGAAGTGTGTCTGAATTCTAGTTCATTCATGATGCTGTTTCTGAAAGGCTTAGAAGAAGGTCTAATACTGTGAGACAATCTTAGTTATTAAATACTATCAGAAGTTTAAGTGTTGGTTTGTAGGGATTTGGTTGGTTACAGGATTTCATCATGAGGTGACATTGGTTAGACAACCATAGGAAGACCTGCAGGGAGTACTGGACAGTCAGCTGTGTCGCCAGTCCAGTTTGGGACTCTTCATCAGTACGCACCCACCGGAGTTCAAACCAAGGACCTTCTGGTTACAAGGCGGGCTCGTATACAATTAAGCCACTGGGACCCGATCCAATGGCCAGCCCATGAATTCTAACTTCTACCAATTCACGACATAGCGCGACCCCTAGCCAGTGTCTTTGGCAAGTATTTGTCCTCTCACCCGACCGGGTGTGAACCCCGTTGGTGGGTGTGTACTGCTGAAGAGCCCCAAACTAGGACGAAACAGCTGTTCAGTACTCCCTGCAGGCTATCCAATGGTTCTCTAACCAATGTCAGCTCATGATAAAATCCTGTAACTGCCAGAAGTTAATTTATGAAAATATATGTTTTCGGAAAAAATTGAATTTGAAAAAAGCTGTTCACTAGTAATCTGGTCTAGTTTTCTAAATTATTGATAATCATAAGAGCCATATTCTTGCCAATATGTTGACATATAGTACAGAATTTCCAGACTGTTTCAATTGCAGAGTATTCACTTTTCGTAAAATTGTATTCGGTAGTGTATAGTATGTTCCGTATGAAGCAATATCTAAATCTCCACGATTTCTTCATTTCCTTTAATTCTGTTGAGAAATGTCCTGAATTATAGCAAACTAAAACTGTGTGCGAGTTTAATATAGGGATCTGAAAACACAGACGATTAAAAGAAAAAGAAGGGAAGAAGAGTTTATATACGAATACCGGATGAACATTTAGGCAGCTTAGTGATTTAAGCTGGCCGTCAGATCTTTGCATTTGTCTAATGTTAGAACAATATTGTAAAAGAATCTTACATATGAGGCCTGAAGGTAAGTGTACCATTATAAGGACTGAAAAATAAATGGCATCATTATGAGCTGACATCAGTTAGAGATTCATTGGATAGCCTGCAGGGAGTACTAGGCAGCCAGTTGTTTCGTCAGCCTAGTTTACGACTCTTCAGAAGTACGCACCCAACAACGGGGTACCAATACAAAACCTTCTGGTTACTAGGAGAGCCAACTTGTAGACCATTCAACAGCCACTGGAACCTGACCTGACCCGATCGAATGGCCAGCCAGTGCATAAATTCTAACTTCTATCAATTCATCACATAGGGTGACCACTGGCCAATGTCTTCTTCGATGAGTTACTGCCTCAACTTTAACCTGGTGCACCCTACTGGTCACATCTTCCCACTCAAACCCCAGTCACTAGTGAGCATCAGATGAATTGTCAAGTATTGGTTTTGTAGGGGTTGTGTTTGGTTGGTTGAAGGTCCTGGGTTCGAACCCTGGAACAAAGGCTGACGAAACAGCTGTCGAGTACTTCCTGCAGGCTTTCCAATGGTTTTCTAACTGATGTCAGCTCATGCTGAAATCCCCCAACCAATCAAACAAAGTCCCTGCATAACCAATACTTGACAATAAACGGTATCTATTTGTAGCTGATAGGTCTCATTTAGAAGCCTTAAGTCTCCATCTAGACGATATCACTGAGGCTGACTTGAAAATGAAACAACTTTTTAATGAATAGTACAATGATATATACACACTGTCTCTCCTCCTCCATAACTTTATAGTGCTATTCTCAGACTTCTGTCACGTGGTACAGTGGTTAGGACTCTCGCCGACCATGCACATGGTCCGAGGTTCGATCCCCTGCCGACGCACACCTGATTTCTATGGTCGGCCTGCAAAATTTGGGCTACCGATATCCTATGCTAAAAATTCCATACTTGTACCAAAAATACAGTGTGGAATCAAGTTGTAATCAAAAATAAAAAAAATAAATTACAGTTTTATGATTCATGAATGTGACATAAGGTTTGTTTCTAGCTTTTCACACGGTCTTATATTTATCTAGGATTTATGATGAACTCTTTATTACAGAAAACTAATTTTTCTTTGAACTGTTTGTTAACATAATACGGATGTTTTTGTGATACATTTTGAACTATATGGATTTTACATTTTTAGATCAGAATACAGTTATGACAATGTTAAATCATGATGCTCCTGGTGATATTATAGTTGATGGTTATCAAGCTCCTGGTTCATACAGACGTAAATTAAATTATGGACGCGCTGACAGAGATACACTGGGGGAGCTGGTACGACGAGCAGTTGAATGTGATCAATCGCTTACTTATCAGTGTTGGAATGCAAAACTTCTTCAATTGCCTGCCGGAGGTTAGCTTAGATCTTAAATTTCTCTTTTCCAATATATATATATTTGATTGGACAATAACCAGTAACTAGTGTAGTTTGTCTAGTCGTCTATTTGGTGCAGACTGAATTCTATCAATCAAGTTTGCAGTGTGGCCACCATACCACTAGGTGGCTCGCCATCACGGTGTACTGTGAATTGTTGGTACTAGATGGTTGGAGGCAATCGGCCGCCACGGGAAGCCTTGTTTGACCTGGGTTTCGTGCTAGTTGACACTCGCCAGTCAGCAAGGAACTCATGTCCCTTCTGAGATTTGAACTCGCATTACCCAGTGACGTCTTCAGTCAGAGACATTACCACTGAATTATTCAGGCTAGCGATTGACTGTATTGGATATTTTTGATTGGACACTAGTCAGTAACCAGTGTATTACGTCTAGTTCCATTTTCAGAGCAGACTGAATTCTATCAGGCTTCCTGCCGATTTGCTCCTATCATCTAATACCAACAATATATATATATATATATATATATATATATATATAATGCAAAAGTCATGACCCATGAGGTACACCTCAGTTTGGAAATCTGCTGATATTCACATTTTCAACACAACTTTTAAGGGTCAACACAACTTCTATAAGGGTCAGAAACTTGGCCAGTGCATCACGAAAATTATTTCCAACAGTTTGTTGGTGACTTCTATCAGCAGCTGCCTTTGTTGCATACTGAAATTCAAATGGCCTGAAAGGATTAACAAAAAGAAACTCTGCTGTGGGACGAGTCATGTCAAGGACCTATTGGTCAAGAAATGTTCCAAAGCAAATGAAGATGGATTGGATGCATGCTGCTACAGAGACTGTTGAGTGACGTTGCGTACAGTGCAGGCCATCGCTTGAGTGAAAACCGGGTCGGAGAACAACGAGTTGTTCGTGGTTTCGAGAGTGACGTAGTGGCGGTCGTATGAAGAGGAGATAACAGCCTCTGAATAATCATAAGGCTAGCTAAAGATGACTGCAACGAGGAGGATGAAATGTGTGGGAATGTGCCAATGAAGCCCTACATTCCAATCGGAATCCAAAGGAATAATACTAATAATAATAGTGTAATAAACATGGGGAACTTGAGCTGTGAGAACTTGTAAAAATAACAAAAGATATTGTTGAGATAATGAAACCGGAAATAACAGAAGACAGAATTCATGGGATTTTTCATTTTGCCTCATTAGTTGGCCCTCACCTGCTAATACAACTGACACAGACTTGATTCCCGTCGAACCAGTCGAGGGGGGAGGTATACTAATTAACTTCCGCAATCACAAAAAATAGATTTCCAGTACTCAATGACTTTCGAAAGTTAGTTAAATGGTTTTAACCTGTGACAAAGGCTATCTTTAAGCCATCAAGAGCTGTTTATTTTGTCACCGTGACAATTTTATGTTTCTTACAGTCATTATTGACTTTTATGATGATTGGATGAGAGTTAGAAAAGGTTTTTATATGTACAGACTGTTACGACCAAAACCGAATTGTTGCGCTTCGAGTGCAGGAAACTGGTCTCTGTATCCTACTATGTAGCTGACAAGACTTTTCTGAGACACATGCATTCAAAAAACTCTCCTAAGTCAGCAAAAAGGCGATTATTCGGTAAATCTGTGGTTCTATTCAACAGCAGTTACATCAGAAACTCTTAACTACCTCAGTGGTACCGTTAGGCAGGTGTACAGTCAAGGTTATTTCCTAAGTATAAAAAAGCACTTAGAATCAACCGGAATATGGCTGAAGAAGGTGGGATCAAAAACTCTGTCCACAAGTATCATACATCGAACCACTGGCGGACAGTTCAAGGTGAAGTATCTTTGATCCACTCAAACAAAATCACATCTTAAAACAACACATTATGAGTGTATACTATCACAAACAGAAGCATTAGGATTAGAGATTAAACGGGGAGAAAGACAGATAATCAACTTGTGGTATGCAAATGTCAGGACAATAATATACAGTCTGGGAGCGAAGTTAGTTGAAACATCCAAATAAGTATAAACAATCTTCCCGTTTCACAGGCCCTAAATTAATTTAGAGACGTAATTTGTTCTGCTGGTGAATAACTTGTGGTAACAGGATTACATCACGAGCCGACATCAGTTAGAGAACTATTGGAAAACCTTCTAGCAAATTTTTTGCATGAAATCAAGTGTCAATCAATGATGATCTCAATGATTTGGCCCCATGGGATACTACCATTCGCCCTACTGACAGTTTTTGGAGTTCTACGGAGTATGACATAATCTTTTTTTAGCAACTCAGGAAAGATTAAGGATGAAAAATAAAGAAAAATGGGTAACATGCAGGAGTTGACAAAGTGTAAGATGAAGGGGGGGTGAGTTATGCTCGAGCACCTTAATTTCGTAATGTAAAATGTCAGATGGAATATTTTACTAGAATTCCGCAAGATGTGGGAAGAACAGGATAGATCAGAAGAAAGAATTAATCCAAGGTACATAACGTCAGACTTGATTTCTATATCACTGCCATCAATTTTACAACGGTCATAGAAATTAAAAGCTTGATTTAAATTTCTTTTACATCGGAAACTGAAATTGACAGTCTGACATTTGGAAGGATTTAGTTTAAGATTATTAGAAAATAATCACTTGTTGACTCCTGATAGAAAGCTGTTCATCTTAGCACAGTCAAGCTGGGGTTGACAGGCACTGAAATAGTTAAGTCGTCTACATACTTAACAAAGTCCGTTTCATCAGAATGAGGCAAGTCATGGAAGAAAAAGGAAACAGAAAAGGAGAAAGGACAGCGCCTTGAGAGATGCCAGCCTCAGTACGCAATGAAGTGGACGACCTTCCCTGGCATACAGTGTACTGCTTTCTTTCTGAGAAGTAAGAATGCAGCCTGTGAGTTTCAGTAAGCTAATATAACAAAATATCCCTAAGTACTGAGTCAAAAGCAGATGTGTAGTCGATTAATTACTCATCATCCTATCCACCTCTTGTCTTTATTGCGTAACTAATTTACTATTTTGTGCAGGTATTTATTTTTGTTTAAACTAAAACTTTCTGGGTATAAACTATATAATTAAAATTTTCTGAGCATGTTTTATCAAGTTTGCAGTGTCCTATCAACTTACATCGTATGTTAAAATTGTTCTGTACATAAATTTAATGATTTCTCTAAGCTGTACGCAGCTGATGAGTAACCAATGGAATAAACGATGGTACCACCTGATTCTGTACGAGCTATTGTTCTTGCTTTGTTCTTATTATATTAGCGTTAGTTTTATTAACACACCAGTAAGGAAGGCGAGAATGACACTTTTTGATTAGACAGTAGTCTTAATTCTCCTGTTTTTAAACTGTCCAATAGTTACCGTGGCAACAACGTGTTTTACATTCACGTGTTCTAATTGATAAATTCATTTTTTTCACTTTAAAAAAAATTATTTAAGGTGGAACAACTTATGAAAATCGTGCTTGGGGCTGGTGGGTTAGTCAAGAAGGCAGACCACAGTTTTATTGGGGCGGAGGAGTACCAGGTTTACAAAAATGTGCATGTGGTGTCGAGGGAACATGTACAGGAGATTCGTTAACTTGTAATTGTGACAGTGATGGATCAGCAGCTCCACCGTTAGTCGACACAGGATTATTACAATTTAAAGTGAGTCACTAATTGTGTAATAAGGCGTGCATTTTGATTACGTTTGGTTTTGAGTGATTGGTCGTCACTGTACGAAGAGGTTCATTGATTTTTTTCTTTGGCTTTTGAATGTAACAGTGTAATGCTTTCTAGTTGAAATCGATTTTATTTAACCTGAGGTCATACTCTACACCTGTGAAAATCTGGATTTGGCGGACGATTACTGTCTCACATCACATAAACTTGAAGATTTACGAGTGAGAATTAACAATTCGACAGAAGAGGCAAACAGGATAAGACTTTAGATGAACAACATAGAGGAGATAAAAGTCATGAGGACACCCAACCAACCAAATCAATCACCATCAACATCAGAAGTCTAAACAAAGTCATTTCTTCCACTTGGGTATGGGGAATGGGCAGTATTGTTCTAAATACACGTGGCATGGATCAGGATGTCAAAACCAGCTAATATTGGTTCGGGGAGGCAAGGCAGGCGTTTGTTACTCTGAAGTCAATGTATATTGTGGAGATCTACAACACCCACCACAAGGAAGGGGATACGAATTTTAAACAGTAATGTTAGACTAGTGATACTATTTAGTTCAGAGACTTGGCACCCGCGTCATAATAAGCATTTCCAGCAGTCTGCTGACGAATTTCACCAACAGTTGCCATCGCTGTATACTTAAGATCAGATGGTTGGCTAGAAAGGAACCCTGGCGGTGAATAAATCATGAACCTATTGCCCGGCAATTATGCGGAAGGAATGGGGATGAACTGGACATACACTGAAAAGCCTTTTGATCAACATCATAAGCAAGGCAGGCCCTCGATTGGGAGCCGAATAGGAAATGACAAGTTAGACGTTCAAGTAGGACAAGAAGGAGATCGTATGAGGAGGGAATGAAAGCTTGTTGGCAATCCGGGAGCTAGCTAAAAACGGTTATAGGGAACAGACTAAAATGGAGATGGAGATATTGAAGTCCTTTTCCACTTGGAACCCAAGGGACGAATAGTAATAATAAGCCTATAATCAATCGTTCCACACTCATTAACAGAGCAGTAACATCAAATGACACAAGTTGTTTTTTTCCTTCACGTTCCCCAGTGGAACATAGGACTTCAGGCTGGAGGCTTGAAGTTTCTGTAGCAGTGTTCATTTTACAGGATAGGGTTGCTAGCCTCAAGCCCAACCTTTTCTCTTTACCAGGATTATTTTTGGCTTAGCGAGGTAAAGGAGTACGTCGACCGGGGATCGAACCCCGGACCATGTGCATGTTCGGCGAGTGTCCTAACCACTATGCCACCGACGCGACACAAGTTGTAGAGAAGTCTTAAAAAAACATGTAGGCATTTTGCATCTTTTGGTAGTAATAATATAATGGAATTTAAGCTCACAGATTAACAACATTTCAAAAAATCAGGGGACATCTGAGTTCGAGGCATCTAGAATTCAAGTACTGTCATTTTCATGATAGTCCTGTATATTCCTTTTATTATCGAAAGATTAAAAGAAATACTGTACTAAGCTGTTATTAATCTAATAATATTCAGTTTTCTATTTTGTCGTTTTTCACTTCATTGAAGTGGAGTGACTTGACCCTAAGTTCCTACTATTTTCGAAGACCCTCCGAACTCACAATTACTATGAACGATTGTCGACTTTAACTCCAAAAACATGAGGACTTGTAATAAGTTGTATTGTTCAGCAATTAAAATCGATATTTCATACAAAGTCTATAAACAAATGTTTTACAAAGAATGTCTTGTACTTTTATTCGTATTCTTTCGTCTTCTTCCAACTTGTACAAGACTGAATCATTCACGCTTCGAGTTGCTCGTCAATGGCAACCAAGGCCAATGAACCAACGTTCAGTGCTGACATTCCTTTACACCCTCTGTACTGGATTCAACTTACATACACTTAACGATTCAAAAATAGAATGGAACGCTTAAGATGGATTCTTATTAGCCTTATGAATTTATACAGTGAGATATAATTGTGTTTTGGTACAGAATTACCACCCCCCTCCTTCTGTTTTAGGATCATTTACCAGTTATGGAAGTTCGATTCGGTGATACTGGTGGCATCAATGATAATAAGCGTGCAGCCTATCGAGTTGGACCATTGCGTTGTTATGGTGATAAGTTGTTTGATAATACTGTAACCTTTCGAAAGGTGGATGCAAATCTTGAATTGCCACCATTATATTCAGAATTTGCATTTGATATGTCATTTATATTTAGAACAACTATCACAGATGCTGTTATTATGCAAAACAATGGACGCGTATCAAAACAATTCTTTGAAGTTCGTATTCGAAGTAAGCAAGGTTTTTTTTGTTTTTTTATGGTAAGCTTTGAATTTTCAACGCAAAACTTGCACTGAGTAATTTATGTTGGTCTGCACCGAATGAAACGTGCGTTCTTACTGAAATGTATCCACATATATATATTTATGTGTGTGTTTATGTTGGTCTGTCTTTATGTTTGCTCTCTTAGTCTGTGACCATTTCACTTGTATGAACTTGTCTCCTTTAACAATGTATATTCCCCTTATATTATATATAATATGAGTGTTTGTTGATAGTCCGTTGCTTATTATTATTATTATTATTGTATCCTTTAGTTCCTAGAGGAACATAGGGCTTCAGCTGCGCACCTCCATTGACTTCGGTTTTCTGACAACTTTTTCAACCTGCTCCAGGTCTGTCCACATGCTTTCATCTCCTCCTCGCATGACCTCCTCCAAGTCACCCTTGGACGACCAACTCGCCGCCTCCCTTTCGGGTTCCACTCGAGGGCTTGTCTAGTGATGTCACTTGATGGTTTCCTCAGCGTATGGCCAATCCATCTCCATTTCTTTCTGCCTATTTGTTTCACAATCGGTTCCTGATTGGTTCGCTCCCAGAGATCCCTGTTGCTGATCTTTTCTGGCCATCTGATCTTGAGTATTGAGCGGAGACAGTTGTTAATGAAGGTTTGAAGTTTGTTTGAGATGCTCTTTATGACTCGCCAAGTCTCTGATCCGTATAGTAGCACTGACTTCACATTGGAGTTGAAAATCCGGATCTTATTTTTGATGCTGATTGCTGTTGACCTCCACACAGATTTGAGAGTAATGAAAGCTTGTCTTGCTTTTCCGATTCTGGCTTTGATGTCCTCGTCAGTTCCGCCTGTAGTTGAGACGATGCTTCCCAGGTAGGTGAAGGAGGTTGTTTCTTTCAGGTTCTTCCCATTTATGCTTATTGTGGTCTGTTGTTGTTGTTGATGTTGGCTAGGAATCTTCATCATCTCTGTTTTATCTATGTTCACGTGAAGTCCTATCTTTGATGCTTCTTCTGCCAACTTGTTACTTTTCACTTGCATATCTTCCAGTTTATGGGAAATCAGACATATATCATCGGCGAAATCCAGATCCTCCAAGTCTTTTGTGTCAGTCCATTTTATGCCTGTTCCCTCGTTGGTTGCCGTTGTCTGTCGCATTATCCAATCAATTGCAATCAGGAAGATCATTGGTGATAGTAGACAGCCTTGCCTCACTCCCGTCCTCACTTCGAAGGCTTCCGTAAGTTTCCCGTTGTGGATTACTTGGCATGCAGCATTGTCGTATAACTGTTGGATGAGGTGTATAATTGTCGATGGGACCCCGTAGTAGCGAAGTAGTTTCCAAATGACCTCTCGATCGACGCTGTCGAAGGCCTTTTCAAAGTCGATGAAGTTGAGATAGAGAGGTGACTGCCATTCCAAGCTTTGTTCAATGATGATCCGTAGAGTGGCGATTTGATCAATACATGATTTGTTTCTCCTGAATCCAGCCTGTTCCGGACGAAGTTTTTCATCTAGGGCTTGTTTGATTCTCTCCAGGATGATGCGACTTAGTATCTTGCTTGGAATGGACAGAAGCATAATTCCACGCCAGTTTTTACATTGACTTAAGTCTCCTTTCTTTGGAAGTTTGAATAAGTAACTGTTCTTCCAATCCTCGGGTACTTTGCCCTCTTTCCACACCTTCTCCAGTAGTGGTGTCATCAAGTCCGCTGTTGTCTCTGGGTCTATTTTCAAAGCCTCTGCTGGGATTCCATCTGGTCCCGGTGTTTTCCCAGTTTTAAGCATCTTGATTGCATTCAGGACTTCTGATTTCGTCGGGGGGTCAGTGTTCACTGGTAGTTCTGCTTCCGTTGTTGGTATTGCTGGACGTGTTGTAGGTGGCGGACGATTTAGAAGTCTTTTGAAGTGTTCAACCCAGTGCTTTCTCTGTTCCACCTCTTTGGTGATTGACTTTCCATTGTCGTCCTTTATTGGCTTAATCTGTGTCGAACGTTTGCCCGAAAGGTTCCTAGTTGTTTGGTAGAGTGTGGCGAGGTCTCCTTTGCCTGCAGCTTGTTCTGCTTCGTTTGCCATGGTTTCATAATATTTTCTTTTGTCTTCCCTGGCACTTTTCTTCACTCTTTTGTTCAGTGTATTGTAGCTTGCATTCAGCTCCTGTTTTTGTTGCTCGTCGTGCACTGGATAATCTTTTGCTTCACTGTCCTTCTCTCTTCTATTAGTTTCCAAGTGTCCGTAGTGAGCCACTGTTTGTCCTGTCTCTTTTTTCTGCCTAGAATTTCTATGCAGGTTTGGCTCCACACCGTTTTCAAGTTGTTCCAGTGCTTTTCAACGCCGACCTCTTCGCTAGTGTTGATTTGTGTCTCGGCTTTGTCCTTTATGCTTGCAATGAAGATGTCCTTTGTAGCCTGGTCCTTCAGCTTTTGAGTGTTGAACTTGGCTTGTGGTCTATCTGCAGCTCCTGATTCCCTGAAAGCTTTTAATTTGATTTGGATTGTCCCTTGTACGAGATAGTGGTCTGAGCCAACGTCTGCTCCTCTTCTTGCTTTTGTGTCCAGTAGGCTGCGCCTCCACTTCCTTGAGATTGAGATGAAGTCGATTTGGTTTTTGGTTTGCCCGTCTGGTGACACCCATGTAGCCTTGTGGATATCTTTGTGCTTGTATACACTGCCACCAATCACCAGTTCGTTGAAGGCGCAGAAGTCGGCGAAGAGTTCTCCGTTTTCATTCATTTCTCCTAGAGCTTCTCTACCCATGATGAGTTCCCTTCCCGTATTGTCTGGTCCCAGTTTGGCGTTCATGTCTCCCATTAGTATTTTCATGTCGCCAGCTGGAGTATTGTCCATTGTTGCCTGTAGTTGCCTGTAGAATTCTTCTTTCTTCTCGAGGTCTGCGTTGTTTGTGGGTGCATAACATTGTATGATTGACACTTTCCTTCCTTTGGAGTTGAACCTGGCGGTCATTATCCTGGACGAAATCGCCTCCCATTGTATCAGGGCTTTCGTTGCCGTTGGTGACATCATGATAGCCACGCCCTCGGTGTGCGTGTGGTTATCTTCTGGGTGACCGGAGTAGATCACTGACTCACCTGTTGACAATTTGGTGAGTCCACTCCCATTCCATCTGCTCTCACATATTCCCAGCACTTGTATTCCGTATCTTTTCATCTCGTTGGCGATCTGGGCAGCTTTCCAGTCTCGTACATAGTTCGGACGTTCCATGTTCCTACACAGACTTTTTCTTTTGGTGCAAGGAGGTTCACATACTGAAGTTTCTTTAGCAATTTTTGTTTACAGGGTGGGGTTGCTAGCCTCACGCCTGAGAAAAGAATGATTACATTAAGTAAAAGTTTAGAGAGAAGCAACTTTTTGGGTTGCTCCCCTCAAAATCAGAAAATAACGGACAAACAATGAGAACAACATCAACAAAGGAAACAGTTCACAGAAAAAAGGGCAAAAAGCGACGACAACTATACAATAAGACAACATGCAATATAGTTCAGTACATTTAACTAAAATGATATCTTAACCATAAACTCACTGACTTGGAGCAACTTGAACATATAAATCCAACAATATATACAATTATAGATGTGTTTATGTTTAAAAATTCCACAAATCCAAACAGTGAGTTATGTGTATTATCTGTCAATAAGATTGTATTTTTTGGATTCAGTGTTCGAAAGGTTAATAATTGTGATAATTTCCGCAAACACTTTGCATAAAATTTTAGAGTAATAAGAGATTTTATTTATGACCAAAATGTAGCGTAATAGTCGAAAAGCGCGCTCAAGGTGAATATCAGTCCGTTGCTTGGTGACATATATCCATATATGGTGGTTGTTGACATGTCTGCTATATTTCGCTATGTATATTTGGATCGACACTCCATTATAATTAGCCATTCATGTTAAGACTGTCTATTGATTTGTTCACACACATTCATATATATTTCGTTCTCACAATCTTGTGACTTACACTTACTCACTTACCTACTTTGGTGTGATACCACTTTTGCATTCTCCTTGTGTTTGGAAAATAGAAGTATCATCGCAAACCTAGTGGTCTTCTGATTTCCGCCTTCTTGCGTCAGGACTATTAAATTCTCGACCAGTCCATAACAATAATTTAGCGACGAGTATATAACAATTTGGCGACGGGGAAAACTACTATTAACCACTCAGCAGCAGCAACATAACACACCTTGGTTAGCTCCACGCTCATGAAAAAACTGGTGGCCTACTTAAAACTTCGACTGCCAATATATATATATATATATGGTTTAATGTTTGATCACGGATTAGTATCAGTTAAAGAAACATTGAAAACCGGCAGGGAGGATTGAACTGTTGTTTCGTCCTAGTCTGGGACTCATCACACTAAAATCACGAATTGGTGGAAGTTAGAATTCATGGACCACTGAGTCGGGTCCCTGTGGCTGAATGATCTACAAGCTTGCTTGTAGATTGCCGGAAGATCATGGGCTCAAGACCTGCCAATGAGTTTCATGCTAGGGCGAAACAGATGCTAAGTACTCTCTGGTTTTCGGTGGTTCTTCGAATGAAACAAATCAGATCCCTACTAACAAGCTTATTTTGTTTTAATCAACTAAAATATAGCCTTGAATGGTATTATTTATCATTGCGAGCATTTAAAATGTTTACAACCGGTTAATTTGTAAGTTTCTACTAAAATTGAGAAAAAGCATTATTCCATTATGGATAAGATTTTATTTTGATAAATCACACAGGGTTGTACAGTAGTTATTAACTGATGACGTTTCGAGTGCAAACTATTGCTCATTATCATTCAACTTGATATTTTTTTTATTTTTGATTACAGCTTGATTCCACACTGTATTTTTGGTACAAGTATGGAATTTTTAGCATGTGACATCGGTAGCCCAAATTTTGCAGGCCGACCATAGATATCGGGTGTGCGTCGGTAGGGGATCGAACCTCGGACCATATGCATGGTCGGCGAGAGTCCTAACCATTTTGCCACCGACACACAATAGTTTGCGCTAAAAACGTCGTCAGTTAATATTACTGTACAACACTGTGTGATTTATCAAAATGAAATCTTATCCATAATGGAGTTATGCTCTACCACAGTGCCAAAGTTTTATATTCACATCAATAATACATATGATCTTCCTACAAGGAAGCTTATCAATAAACTCACACGACTTTCTCAAACAGAAGCAAGATTCACGAACCATCGGATTTTTAACAGTCGATGCTTTAAAAATCATGTAATTCCAAAATATTTACGCATTTCTTCAAGAAAAATAACATTAGCAGCTGAACATGTCAGTAGATTATGTCTAAGAGAAGAACTACATCGAATTACTGTGAATTTAAATAAAATACGAAATGAAGTCGGAAAAGCATTATCTTCGTTGGCAACGTATTCAAAGACATAAGAGAACTCTTTCAGAAATATGTCCTTGGGTTTCAAAATATATTCCAGAATTTTTTTGTAACTGGCTTTCAATCAAATCTCATGCATTTCGTGAAAGTGGCAAAGAAGAAATATCATAATGGATTCGTCCGCGCTTCAGATCAGACAGCATTGTGATATATGGTCTACTGTCAGTTGATATTTTACTTGGAGTTAGTTCCTGGACGAAGAGAAAGTATTGAGCAAAAAACTCCGCCGAAGTCTCTGCACCTAATATAATCACTGTCCAGAATCGAGCTATTATTATTATTATTACTAACGATACCAAAGTTTTGCAGCTCATCTCTTTTTTGTTTAAGTTATAAGTTGTCATTTTATCCTTATTTTGTACAATTTTTATTTTATCCTCCTAGACGGAAATGCATTACGTGTCGCCTTCAATGTTGGTAATGGAATTCAGTTGACAGAAGTTATAACAGCACATTGGCTTAATGATAATCGATGGCATGTAGTACGCTTTGAACGTAATCGTAAAGAAACACGTTTAATTGTAGATACACAAGAACCATCTGTTATTGTTGAATCATCACAACGTTCATTTCAAGGATTTGATTTTGATCAACCGCTTTATGTTGGTACAACTCAAGTATGTACATGTATATATATATATATAATATTATATATATATATATATATATATATAGTCATTTATTCTACTTTCTAAATCCGGTTTTTTTAGTAGATATAGGCTTTAAGTTTGATTATGAGCTGATGTAAGTTAGAGAACCATTGAAAACCAGTACTGGACTACTGGACAGTTGTTTCATCCTGTTTTGGGAGTCATCAGTATTACAAATCCACCGAGGTTTGAACCCAGGACCTTCCGGTTACATGTCAAGCTCGTAGATCATCCAACCACTGGAACACAATCCAATGGCCCGCTCATGAATTCTATTATTATTATTATAATTCTTTCACGTTCCCAGTGGAACATAGGGTTTCGAGCTAGAGGCTTGAAGTTTCAGTAGCACTGGCGTTTATTTTTAATAATAATAATCTACTTTATTCCAAAAACGCTACTTATAATACAGAATGGAATTCTCAGCATTTCTCACAATATTGCATCTGATTTACTTAAAATACAAATAAAATTAAAAATTAAAACAAGAGTAACCAGAGGAATTTGTTCACGTTAACGATATAAAGTCAAAAATATTCTAAGCACGAATTGAGATTATTAAATATAATAATAATGATAAAAACAGTGAGTTTGTCTCAAACAGTATTGTCGATTCAGTTTGAAAACTTTAGCATGTTTTAGATTATTGGATCTAATGTTCTGTTGATATAGTATAGTGAGGAGAAATTAACACTTTTATAACACAACTTAAATGATGTTCACACTTATGAGAAAATAAATAAACAAAAACAAAAAATCGAAAGGATTATAAATATAAGAAATACAATAAGAATAAAGTTCCATGGTGTAAGGGTGGAGGAAATGGTTTATTTAGTAGTGCAAAGAAGGTTAGTTAGTTCATACCTAACACGATATTCATCACATAAAGTACGTGCCGCCAAATATGGTATAGTGGAATTTTTATGCTTAGACGTACGCGCATAAAGTCATCTGAAAAGACTTCTTGTTTTACCTGAGGAGACACAAGGTTGGATGGGTAGAGTGGGTGCTCAGAATCTGACAAAATTCCTTTAGCAAATTTGTTGCATGACATCAAGTGCCTATCAGTGACAATGTCAACGATATGGCCCCTCGTCTTACTGACAGTCTTCAGAGTTCTACGAAGTATGACATAGTCTTTTTTAAGCAATCCAGGAAAGAATAAGGGCGAACAATAAAGAAGAATAGGTGAGATGCAAGAGCTGACAAACTGTAAGAGAAGGGTTGGATGAGTTTTGCCTGAGTACCTTAACTTCTCAATGTAAAATGTCAGACGAAACATTGTTTTAGAAATCACTAAGACATGAGAAGACCAGGATAGGTCAGAAGAAAGAATTAATCTATGATACTTAACTTCAGACTTTATTTCTATATCACTATCATCAGTTTTACAATGGTCATAGGAATTAACAGCTTGATTTTGATTTCTTTTACATCGGAAACTGAAATTGACAGTCTGACATTTGGAAGGATTTAGTTTAAGGCGGCTAGACGGAGATCATTTGCTAATTCCTGATAGAAAGCTGTTCATCTTAGCACAGTCAAGCTAGGAGTTGACAGGCACTGAAATAGTTAAGTCGTCTACATACTTAACAAAGTTCATTTCATCAGAATGAGGCAAGTCATGGAAGAAAAAGGAAACAGAAAAGGAGAAAGGACAGCGCCTTGAGAGATACCAGACTCAGTACGCAATAAAGTGGACGACCTTCCCTGGCATACAGTGTACTGCTTTCTTTCTGAGAGTAAGAATGCAGCCTGTTGACAACCCAACTTTCAGTGTGAGTTTCAGTAAGCTAATCGAACCCCGAACCACGTGCGGCGTGATCGGCGAGTATTCTACCTCAGCACCACTGACGTTAAACGTGAGTCCTAGCGTCTATCACTTTGTGATTTTAGCTGGATCACCAGAGAATGTTATCAGCGAGTATATTTTTTCACATCCCGACATATTGCATCTCACTGGTCATGACTTCTCGCCCGAAGGTTTTGGGTTCGAATCCTAGCTAGTGCGTACTGCCTATGAGCCTCAAACTAGAATGAGACAGTTGTCCAGTACTCCTTGGTTTTCCAGTCGTTCTCTAAATGATGTCAACTCGCGGACCAAGCTTGAAACAGATCGAATTTCTACAAATTAACTCTTCTAGATGTAAACTGGTGTGAAAATGGCGTTGTTCCAATATCAGTCAGTTGGTGAATGGTGCATAGCATCAAAACAGATAAATTAATTCAATTTAAGAATATGCCGATATAATAACAGCAGATTTATTCTGGACAAAGTGTTTTCAAAATGTACAGTATTCTTAGCACAACGTACTTTCTAATATCTTCTCCTAACTCAGGTGAAATAGCAGTCTACTGTAGAATGTCGTGTAACGTAGTACTGTTCAATCTAAAGTGTAGACCACACCCTAATGATATTTTTTCATCGTCTCGGAGAAATGTACGCCGGTACTTCGAAAGCCAGTTGAAAATGTGCGTTAGTACAGTTTGTGTGAGTCAAGAACATAACTGAATAATCTAAACAGTAAGGAATTAGAGAAAATATAGTGCATTGTGTTGGATAAAAATTCAGGTAGTTCAGCGATTCAAGCAGACATGTAACAGTTGTAACTGGAATTCTTTAATAACATGAAGTCATTTCTGTTTAATAATAGATGCCTTGAAATACTCAGAATATTAGTAGTTTAAGGACACAAGTTTTTACCCAGACAGAGGAGGTGCCATATATTATAGACCGCAATAAAAAAAGGGGAGGGGAGGCAACGTGATAGGCCTCTATAAAATAAATCATCTGTTTACAGACGGATGGAAGGAGAAGTTTAGAGTTCTCTGTAAAGATGTGTGTAACCAAATTTATCACTCAATATACATCCGTGAAGACAGCTGACTAACAGAACCTGATAAGATAAGGGTAAAGTAAGTGGAATGCGTTACAATCTACGATTTAATTAAAAATAGGAAGTAAATCCTTGTAACAAACAAAATTGACGTGTAGTGGTATGAATGCTGGAAGTCAATCTCCACATTCTAAAGTATAGTTAACCAAAACGTCCTTGAGTTACTCACGGTTTTAAAGTTCACCGACGACAACAAAAAGATAATTATTTGTTATAAAACTGTAGTACTATTTAGCAATAACAACATATCAAAATCTCAAAATTACCTCAACGATACTGCTAGTCAGCTATACAGATCAGGGAATTTTCCCATACAAAATAAGTACTGTGTAACAAAAATTAGTTAACCAAAAATCGATTGTTAGAAGTACCTGAGAACCAAGTGGATTATTCCTAACATGGCGGGAACAAAACTCTATTTGTAAGAATCGAACACACCAAATACTTCCCTCAGACAGCCCTAGGTCAAAATCCCTACAGTCAACCTTGAATTCATTCAAACAAAGTCATAAACGTAAAGCAACATGATATCAACAGCATCACGCAACAACCGCAAAGAGAAGCATTTAAATTAGGAACAATACAAGAATAAAGACAAGCAATAAGGATCAGGTCAGTGGGTGATATGCAGACGCTAGAACAATGACAACTAGCCTAAGAGAAAAGAGGGTAACAATTAAAAAGTTAGTTGAAATATCCAAATTAATGTTAATATTGTAATTGGGTCGTTCAGGGGGGGGGGATTTATCACACAATTGTTCAGTTACAATGCTGCATATAGGAAGACATTGTGAAGAGAAAGACCAAAAATCAGTGGGCACCGGACATCTCTTTTACTGTGCTATAGGATTCATCATCAGAGTGAATCCAAGACTTCATCATAGATCCTACCCAGGATATTAAAATCCCTACAACCTAATCCTTGGAAGTCTTTCTTAATAAGCAGATGGTGTAACTAACCTTTCCAGTTGAACAACTATGCTTAATACATTCATGTTTTCAGGAATTATCCGTTAGACTTTTGAAGTGTTTAGCTATTACGTGCGTCGGTGGTATAGCGGTTAGGACGCTCGCCAACCATGTACATGGTCCAGGGTTCGATCCCCGGCCGACGCAATCCTTTACCTCGCTAAGCAGAAAAAACCTGGTAAAGAGGAAAGGTTGGGCATGGGCTAGCAACCCATCCTCTAAAAAACTCTGCTACAGAAACTTCAAGCCACAGCTTGAGCCCTATGTTCCACTGGGGAACGTGAAGGAAAAATTATTTATTATTTAGCTATTACTCCATGGATCCTTCTGTTGAAAAAAAGTCTTTATTTCTTTGATTAAGAGCTTATTTATTTGTTATCTTTACTGCACACAGGCTTTTACAGATGGTTATGTTGGCTGTTTATCAAATCTATTAATCAATGGTGTTGTACAAGATATGCGTGGCTTAGTTGAACGTGGTGTTTTCACTTACGGTTTAAGCGCTGGTTGTAAACCGAAATGTGATACAAATCCATGTTTAAATAGAGGTGAATGTGTTGAATACTATTCACATTACCTGTGTGAATGTGGACTTACACCATATCGTGGTTTTATATGTGGACGACGTGAGTTTTCACCTTTTCAAATACATTCTGTCGTTTTTTTAATGAACACTTGAAAAGTAAACTATTTTCTCTAAGCACTGTGAAGTATTCAGCAGGTTAAAGGTGGTTGTAATTCATGGAAAATAACCATCCAGAGATAAAAATAAGAACCAACAGTCCAGAGAAGAATCTCCTCCTTTGCGAATTTATTCACCTAGTAGTACAATTCGAATGATGTGTATTTATCTCTGTATGTGTGTGTACATAGCACAAAAGTTTGGGTTATTGTGTACATTATTCGGATATTCCAAAACTGTGATCAATAATCAAAATTATAGCGAGATAGGTTAAAAGTTAGTTACATGATATTATAACGTTCATAACACATTGGGTGTTTATGAAGAGCATGGAGACAAATATGAAAATAGTATATAGAAGGTTAATTAAGAAAATGATGACACTAAATGTCACATAAAAGATGCATAAAAATATTATTAACAGCAAAATATTGATAACAATTGAAGTTGGAATTTTACCTAATGTACAAAAATGCAAAATACTCAGCCGCATCATCTTGGAGAGAACCAAACACGCCAACCTTGATGAAAAACTTCGACTGGAACAAGCTGGATTCAAGAGAAACAAGTCATGTATTGGTCAAATCGCCACACTACGGATCATTACTGAACAAAGCTTGGAATGGCAGTCAGCTAGCTCTCTATCTCAACTTCATCGACTTTGAAAAGGCTTTTGGCAGCGTCAACCGAGAGGTGATTTGGTTACTATTATGAGGTGCCGCCAGCAATTATACATCTCGTCCAACAATTGTACAACAGTGCTGTAAGCCAGGTAATCCAGAATGCGGAACTTACGGAATCCTTCGAAGTGAGGCGAGTCTGACTACTATCGCCAATGATTTCCCTGATTGTAATAGATTGGATAATGCGACAGACAGCGGGCAATGAGGAAACAGCCATAAAATGGACCCTAACGAAAAACTTGGAGGATCTGGACTTCGCCGATGATATGCATATGCCTGATTTCCCACAAACTGGAAGATATGCAAATGAAAAGCAACAAGTTGAAAGAAGAAGCATCACAGATAGGACTTCACCTCAGGTGAACATAGGTAAAACAGAGGTGGTGAAGATTCCTGGCCAACACCACCACCAACAACAGACAACAATCAGCCAGCATAAATGGGAGGAACCTGAAAGAAACAACCTCCTTTACCTACCTACCTGGGAAGCATCGTTTCAAATACAGGAGGACGGAACTGACGAGGATATCAAAGCAAGAATCGGAAAAGCAAGACAAGACTTTCTGGCAAAGAACCGAACGCAATGGAGACGTGCAGCTGAAGCCCTCTATTCCTGTAGGAATTGAAGGAAATAATAATAATAAGAATGGGATGGAGAAGTTTCTTCCTAATTGTGCTGGATTGGATTATGCGTCCGACTGTGCGTGAGAGTGAAAAGACTGGACCACCAACAAGTAGACTCTAAAAGATGTGGACTTCGCAGATGATATATACCTATAGTCATATGAACTCCAAGACTTGCAGGCGAAAACCATCAAACTAGCTAATGAGGCAGGCAGCGAAGATAGGACTCCAGGTGAACATAGAGAAGACGGTGGTGACGAAGATGGCAAATAAACTAACGAACAGCAACAACAACCAGAAACAATTACCACCTACGGGAGAGATTCAACAGAGCTTACTTCGCTCACTTATCTAGCCAGGAAGCATCATTTCAACTACAGGCAGTCGGAATGGATGAAGATGTCAAAGCAGACCAGAATCGGAAAGGCGAGATACATCGTCATCAATCTGAAATCAATTTGGAAATCTTCTGTACTGCAATCCTCAGCACAAAGAACAAGAAGATTCCAACTTTCAGCACAAAAGTGAAATCGGTCACTTCTTCTTCTTCTTCTTCACGGGTCAGAAACCTGACCAGCGTGTCAAGAAAAGAGATTCCCAATAGGTTGGAGACTTTCATCAACAGCTGCCCCATTCTCTGGCTGGCTCCATACTAAAGATCGGATGGCCGACCAGAAACAATTAGTAACGAGAAACTGACTGGAAACTGACCAACTAAGAACTGATCGCCCATGAAATATTTAGGAGAAAATGGAGGTGAATTAGGCACATGCCCCTGAGGAGGCCGTCTAATGACATCGCATGCCAGGCCCTCAAGTGGAAATTCACTGGGAAGCGATGGACGAGTAGGGCGCCAGTGCGAGGGTGACGTGGAGGAGATCCTGTGGATTGGAGGATGGTATGAGAGACTATGGGCGATCGTGGACCTAGCTGAAGAGGGTGATAGAAAACAGAGGAAAGTGGAGATGTATTGTCGAAGCCTTATGTTCCGTTTGGAACCCGAGAGAATAATAACATAATATGACAATGCATAAATCAGGGTTTTCCAACTGGTCCGCTAAGGCCTTCGCAGTGCTAAGTATACGGAAGCATTACGTTTTCTGGAGGCTTCTTTTAACTTTGCAGATAACTATGAATGAACTCTTCTTGTAAATTGAGTGACCAGTATTAAATATATATATTCAACCGTAGCACTGTTACCTATCTGTGGCCATTATGGGTAGATTTTTGTTTTGATAAAGTCTCACAGTGTTATACAGTAATGTTTACTGATGACGTTTCGAGCACAATTTATTGCACACGATTTCCTAAATTCATTTATATAGTTGACCAGTTGACCCAATTAGACAAAATAATATTATTTACAAATACCATGCAATAACTGTGAGGTCAACTACATAGATCAAACTAGTAGGTCAGGGGTAGTCAGATTGTCAGAGCATAAGAATTTAGCTAAGGTAAGAATGGTTGACCCCGAGAAGATAAGCAATTTAGAAAAAGGCTCAGCAATTGCAATGCATGCGCTAACACACAACCACACAATAGGGTGGGAGAGGGTTAAAAATCTAAAAAGTAATCTAGGTAGGTGGAGAGAGAGGTTGATCACTGAATCCTTGTTCATTGAGTCTACACCCAACACATGCAATAGGAAGGAAGGACTCATCACTCACACCTGAAATATGGAAAATACTATTACCAATCAAATCAAGTGAAAATCAAGTGAAAAATAATGGAACTATATAAATGAATTTAGGAAGTCGTGTGATTACCTTGATATGATTATGAGCAATAAATTGTGCTCGAAACGTGGTCATCAGTAAACATTACTGTATAACACTGTGAGACTTTATCAAAGCACAAATTTACCCATAATGGAATTACACTCTACCACAGTGCACAAGTTTTATTCTTATATCTCTGTGACCAGGTAGCATGACTTTCTTCAACTCTTTTAGATGACACATGCATCGACCAACCTATATATCTCGCTCAACATCAGCAAGTGAATTGGTAGGTAAATATATCCGTCGTCAAATGCGATAGTTTATCTTTAGAGTTGTTGAAGACAAAATGGGCAGCAAGAGAATAACAATCATAATGTAGCAGAAGAGAATGTTCTTTTCACAGCGAGTTCTTTTCACTGCCAGAAGGTCATCTTCGATTGCCACATTTATGTATAATGTCTTCTTTGGCATACAGATATGGTGTGGGTTGTTCGTTTAGGGTGTAATGAATTTATGTGTAAAGTGTGGGGTGTAACCATTCTCAAGTAGCATCTCCCTCAAAAAAGAGTGCTGAAATGTGAAAGCTGGTCAGCTGGCTATTTCGCTTAGACTTTCTATATACTGATCTTTTCAAACTCTCATCAGTCTTCTTTGTCAGTCAAACGTTCAAAAAGAAGATTGTCTGCCTAGTTTCTACTTCAATTGTACATTTGATGACTAGGTGACAGCTGTTCAAAACCTGTAGGACACTATTCAGGTAGCATTTGTTATCACGAATGACAAAAGTATCATCAATTTACCTTTTGCACAGAACAAAACTGTTGGTGGACTAAAAGTAGTTTTCAGGGATGAAGTACACGTTAATTCATCGTTTTAAAGAAAGATTTTCATGAAAATTTTTGTTTAAACTTCTAAAAATGTTGGGAATATGCAGATTTTGGAGTTTTGAATTGTGGCTGGACACTTTGATTCACTTGGAAATACAAAGGGTGAAATATCCGACTAATAACTTAGCCAGTGAAGGAGAGGATGGTGATGCTTGATGTATTGGCTGCAGTCCTTCAGAGACGTGCGTTTACATTTCACATCCTCTCATCGTCTATGACAGTGGCTGATTGGTGTAGACATTCGACTTCCAACTAGGGAGTCACAGGTTCGAGCCCAGCTCCTCCTACCGAAGTTTGGTTAGCCAATTAGTGTTTCCAGCTCTATACAGTAAGTGTTGCTTGTTATCAGGCGAAGGTCTAGTACAGCTGAAGTAAGCAGGAAACAGTAGTTTGAGATAAAGTATTTCGAACGCCCGGAGGAAACGTTTGTCTGTGCTTAGGACACTATCCACCCTGTCAATTTCATGGTGAGAACTGGTCTAAGCCGACTCATAGTTTAATGATATAGAGTGGAAGGAGTGGATGCATTGACCTCCTCAATTATTTGAGGAGTTGAATCATTCCTAATCTGAGAAAGGAGACAAAAGGCTCGTTTAGCATATGTCGACTTGCATCGTCTTTGATGCGGGTATGATTTCTGACTGTCCCCAAATTCGTTCCATCCTTCTTTGTCACTGTTATTTATGACCGTTAAAAATGGAAAACTTGAAGTCATCTGTTTTTACATAAAATTTAGGTTATACGTGTCAAAAATGATGTGAAAATTAACATTAAATGAATATACTTAATAAGAAAAAAGTAGTATACAAAGGTTTTGCCAAATTTTTAACCTCCTAGAAATCGGCGGAACATTCAACAGTGGTCCAATGGTGAAAATTTTACTCGGCAGACCAAAAGATCGTTTAGGTACTGTTGAAGAATATATTCAGGTTGGTTTTAAAACAAAATCAAAACGCGGTATACTCATGGAAATGCGAGGAGAAGGAGAAAGTAATTATATTATTATCAAAGTAAACAATAATGGTGGAATAACAATTGAATTCGATGTTGGATTCAAACGATACGAAGTGACAACTAACTATGAAATAGACTTAACTAACGATCAACATCACGTGGTCTATGCATGGAGAACGGATTTAGGCACTAAATGGCATTTAAAGGTTAGTCCGCTTCAAATAGATATTGTTTAAGTTTTTATTCTAAACTCATACCCATAGTGGAAAATTCGATGATCAAAAGTCTTTTATTGTACTAACTATTTAGAATACTTGATCACTTTTATAAATTTGGATAGTGTTATTAAAAGACGGAAATAACCTGAAAAATGTGATGCGATGTATTTTTACGCAATACATTTCGAACAATCTGCTCTCACACACACATTTAATTATTTATTTTATTTATTTTATTTTTGATTACAGCTTGATTCCACACCGTATTTTCGGTACAAGTATGAAATTTTCAGCGTGGATATCGGTAGCTCAAATTTCGCAGGCCGACCATAGATATCAGGTGTGCGCCGGCGTGGGCTCGAACCCCGGACCATATGCATGGTCGGCGAGAGTCCTAACCACTGTGCCACCGACGCACAAGTCAATTTATATGAAAAAATGTAACAGAAAGGATTTAGGAATAATAAGAATAATTAACAAAACGTTTGGTAATCTAATCAGAAAAGGATTATCAAAATAAAAGCCAACTGGTGGATGGTGACTAGAAGTGGAATCCAGGATGCGCATTTCGTCCTATTTAGGACTTGTCAATTGGATGTAGCTAGTCAGTGAGTGATGGTATTCTCGCATAATTCAAGAAACAAAGAGATACACCTTTCGAAAGAATACTCTTCTCGATAAATTCATCATCAGGTCCTACAGTTATATCTATACATTATAGTGAATGAATTCATATTATGAACAACAATAATGTTGTTTAAATAACATCGAATCAATAATACACAATATCAATGGTTGTTCAAAGGTCCTTGAACAACCTTATCAGAAAGTTCTCATTTTGTTGCCGGTATATGCATGACACCTTCATTCTTTGTGATAATAATTCGGATAAGAACACAATAATAACTGAATTCAATGAAGTACATTCTGCTATGAAATTCACGTACTAAGAGGAATCCGAAAGCAGAATTAATTGCTTTCCTGGATGTCCTACTTACAAGAAAACCAGATTGTAGCATAAAAAGAAATTTGCGTAGAAAAATTACTTGGACAGGACAATATACACATTTTCAAAAACCCTCAGTCACAAAGTTATAGCTGTATGCTCAGAAGAAGTAATTAAAGATGAATTAAGCATTGTATATGATACTTCGGTCGAAAATAGCTATCCTGACAAATTTATTAAGAAACACATAACAAAGAAATCAGAAAAGGACTACTCACTATTCGTAAACAAATAGCTTTTATACATACAACTGAAATTCAAAGGCAGTATACCAAGTGAAATAATTACGAATAAATTAATCAAATCAGCTCAAAGAACTTTTAGTGCTGGCGAACTTCACGTCTTATTCTCTACACGACCGTTGGTGATTCCTCGACTAGAAGATGATGTACCTAGACTAGCCACTTCCAACTGTATCTACCAATTCAACTGCTATTCTGTGGTGGAGCGAGTTTTATTGGCCGTTGCTCTAAGAACTTGACTTTTCGCGCTCGAGAACATCGAAAAGAGTATTCTTTGTTCAGTAGGCATTCCTCTGAAAATCCTAATGGGCATTTTTAATCAGTTAAAATACATTTTTCTTTGTGGATCACAATTGTATACAACCTCTTTTTTTCATGAAAGGGAGTGGTAACAGAAGTGATAAGTTATCATAATCCTAGTTCTGAATATTCGTCAGTGCAAAAGATGAGTCGATTAAGTCTACTCTAGAGTCACGTAATAAGATGAATAATTTTAACGAATGAGTTGTACACACAGATGCACACAGGACTGAAAAAAATATTAAATCATGTAAGAGATCCAAACAAATACAAGAGTTATAAGGAGGTAGAAAAACAAACCAGTAAAAATCAAGTTTGTCTGTCTGTCTGTCTGTTTTCGACATAGAACTTTGCACAAATGTGCGGGAGTTGAAGTCGCCCACTCCGTGTACCACGCGAAGCAAGAGAAGAAAGTACAAGAAAAGCATAATAGAAACAGTGAGCAGAGGTGTGAGACAAAGGAGTAATAACGAAAAACAAAACAGTTTCATTGGAGATCATAAGTCACAAGGAGTGGATGTATCTGCGCCACTGAGAACGATTTTGAGCCATATCACCAATTGTTTCCAACCATAGATTTTTACCGTCCCGAGGACCCCAGCCTGGAAGTCTACACCTTCCTACGTGGCTTAGACTAACTGTTGTGGATTTCATTGACTGGTGCCAAGTTTTTGTTTGACCGCCGCTAGCTTTTTTCCAGCCTGACCCTATATCCGCTAACATTGCTCGTCGAGGGAGGCGATGGCTTGGCATACGTAACACATGTCCTAACCATCTCAGTCTTTGTAACTTCACGACTTCGTCGATTGATTTCCCCTGTTTACCTAGAATTCGACGCCTAACCTCAATGTTGCTCACCTTATTATGCCACTTTACACGGGAAATAGAGCGCAGGCACCTATGATCAAAGACAGCTAGTCTTTTCATGTCTTCCACTCTCAGTGACCAGGTCTCACAACCATAAATCAAGTTTAGTAGAAATCAACAAGTTTAACGGCTAGAATAATGAAACCGTTTGATATAGATGTAGCAAACAAACCAGATGAATCACTTAATTCAATCTTATGCAAACCAAAAGATCCGATAGAAAAGGGAGATAAAATTAACACCATTTACAAAATAAATTGTATGAACTGTAACAAACATTACATCGGCCAAAGTGGACGTCCCCTTCGAATAAGAATCCAGGTACACAAATCAGCTGTGAAAAGACATGATATAAATTCTTTAGTATCAATGCATACAGACGTTTATGGACATCAATTTAATTAGGATAATGTCAAAATCTTAAACAGAGGAAACACAAAATGTGCCAGGGAATTCCTAGAAGCCTGGTACTCAAATGAAAACGCAATTAATAAACACGTTAATATAGATGAAATATACCAACTAATAAAAAGTAAATCAGGTGATCAGAAAGTTTAAAATCCCAATCAATAGAAAACGGTCAATACATATCTAAAGATGGCTACCGGGAGACTCATGAAGAAATTTAAATCATTTCACTTTATCCTAAATACTGCGCTGAAGATGTCGTCCAGAAAGACAATGAAAGCTCTACAATTAAACCAAGGAGCTCAGAGAACACTATCAATTGCAAATCAACAAGTTTGTTCCCTCGATAGTAAAAGTGATTGAATAATTTTCTTTCGTCTAAATAGCACTGTTTCTTTGTCTCAATGGTTAGAGCTTTAGTAATGCAAAAGAGACGAAAGCGTATGTTGTCTTCGACAATTTTTTCTTCACTTTGTATATCTCTTTGAAGGAGAAGTTCCCTGAGATCGGATGACTAGTGTTGATTAGGTGCTCGATTATTGCATTCCTTATAGAGCCACTACTGCCTTTCTGTAACCATGTGGGAGAGTGCTCTTAAACTCACTTAGACAGAAACGGGTGCACTGATAAATGCACAAAGAAGTGGTTAGTTAAGAAATCCTATCCTTCAGACTTCTACAGACCAATGGACGACTAGAGAACACTAGTCTTAACGTTGTTGCGAGGAATGTTCTTCTCAAATATGCCGAAATTCTTCTGTTAAGGGTATTATTACCAGTGTGGTGTCACTCAAAATCGAGGTTTAAGTTATAAGCTCTTTTTTTGAACAAGTGTTTCCTTTCTCTGGACTTCTGGTTTGATATTCTTGCCGATAAATCTCAGTGGGTACGCATTTTGGATGAAGATTTCTTTCAGAAGATACAGTTCTGTTTCCAGGATGTCGAGACTGTATTTGTCTTTGATGCGAGTGACAAGGAATCTAATTAAATGTTACTTTTGTTAAACAGGTACCCAACTGTTGAGACTCGTTACTTCGCCGTTCTAAATGAGTTTCCTGTGGACTTACCTACTTAAACCTCCATCAGGTCACCTTGTTAGTTTTGCGTTAAGAAATTTAGATGAATCTATCTCGCTTTGATTGTGAGTTTGTTTTTTTAATTACTTAGATCTGATCGATACACTTATGTCGTAAACTGTCACATATGCATTTTAGCTTGTGTCTCAGTGGATCACAAAAGTCTGCATCGCATAGCTTAGTTTCAGTAAAACACTTATTGGTAATTCTAATATAACTGTGCACAGTTTGCATTGACATTGATTGAGCAGTGAATATATTTCAACAGATATAACCTACTGAGTAGTAAATCCGAACAAATCAATAGGCTAAAGAAATCCTATCTTTGGGGTGCTGTTCTCACTAACCTAACTAACGCTTCTGAGAAGGTGAATTTGTTTACTGACTCTCCTTTTATTCTCAAAGTAGATTTCCACATATTAGCATTTATTCCACTTTGTGAATATAAATAAATCAAGAAGAACAGTTTGTGTAGAGGAAGATGCTACCATGTTTATTTCCTTGGATTTTCATCAGCTCTCTACAACCTAATGAAATCAGTTGACAAGCGGCTTCAAACATAATAAATAGCATTTAATTTGTGGATGGTGACTAGCAGTGGAATCAAGGATGCGCATTTCGTCCTATTTGGGACTCGTCAGCTGGATGTACCTGCATTTCCCTGTGAGCGATGATGTTCCCACTGAGGCTCAAACCCAGTGCCCTTAGTTTCTCAAGATATGGCTTTCGTGGCCCAAGTGGTCTAGTGGATAACGCTTTGGCGTTTGAAACAATGGGTACTGGGTTCGAGCCTCGGTGGGAACATCATCACTCACTGGGAAATGCAGATACATCCAGTGACGAGTCCTAAATAGGACGAAATGCGCGTTATCCTGGGTTCCACTGCTAGTCACTATTCACAAATGAAATTCTAATTAAATACCAAGACATCGTCGAAGCATCTGTACAATAAGCCGACATGTCAACTGAGACCGAGCAGTTCTGTCCAATCAATCGACAGGAAAATCTCCAATATTTATTAAAATAATAAATAGCGCTCAGAAATTAAGCTGTAACTTTAAACGAATACAAATATTTCCTTACAATCGCAAAGGAGTTGCGTAATAAAGACAAAATATGAATAAAACGATGAGTGACTAATAAGGTGAGTCACACTTTGGTGAGTTCAACTCAAATCACAGAAATAAAAGACAAGCGAGGGAAGAGAGAGGTTAAAGCCAAAGATTACGGAAGCAAGTGCAAAGAGAGACAAACAGAGAGTAAAGATATCCAGTTACCAGTGCAAGGAAGTAAGTAAGGCGGGATTGATAACACTGTCGGCAAAGTTCTACAATAGCGTCCCAAGGGATGCGAACGCACGAGTGACCTTGAGTCGACCAATCAGAAAAAAGGAGGATTTTTGCACAAAAAATTACATAAAAGAAGCATGAAAAAAATATTAAACAGGGTATTTTTGTCTTATGTAAGATAAAACAATATCCCAATTATAATGGGGCGGGGTGTCAGATTTTAAATTAAACCAATTCCTATACATGTATTCATCTAGATGACTAAAAATAACTTGATTTTGAGAGCCGTTTATAGCTCTTATTCTATTTTTGAGTGTTCCTCAGAAACCTTCGATTGAATTCGTATGAGTACCGGTTATGGGATCGACGAAGTCATCAGAATTGTTAACTCGATGGTGTATATATCTCAAATCCGATAATCGGTTATGTGCTGCCCATTCATCCGTGTGAATGGTAGTGTCTGGCAAGACGAGCCTCTGAATAATAGGGAGAAGTTTGTCTGCACTCCGATCTGGAATAAGTTCTATAAATCCTTTCCTAGTCTGGGTGTCATAAATTCCCAGAACCCAAACGTTATTTGCTCTAGCACGTCTTTGATTATACTTCTTCTTTATAAGGACCGTTTTATCGATATGAACAACTACACCGACTCCTCCCAACAGTTGAGTAATACTATTCATTTTCCACGACGCTAAATCTCGACAAAACTGGAACTATTGCACAGTAGACGTTAACGTATTTTCTGTTTGAGCTGCAGTTGACCTCACATCGGACTTCAAAACCCAGTAATGGCAAAGAAACAGTATATTCGTCAGGGAAAGTTTCGATTTTCCTAAGAAAGTTCCTAGAAGACAATTAACTGAGAGCTTCACTTACCAGTGTGAACACTTATTCGTTTCTTACACTCTGTACATCTCAATATATATATATATATCCATCAATGACCTAGGAATAAGGTTGCAGGTTCATTGAAGCACCACAGGTACATATACGAGAACGTCCAATTAATCCATTATCCAGACATTATTGAAATACCTAATGTGGGTGAAATTTGCATCTGAGCAGATGAACAGCATTCATTTTTGCGCTAGAATAATGGTAAATTTCCTAAACCAACGACTAGCAAGCGTTCAAGGTCATTTGAGCGTTCGCACTCCTGGGACGCAATTCTGGAACTTCGCCAGACTGCTTCCTTCAGAACACAAAAGTCAAGTTCAAGGCGTTTGATAACATAGCGTTTCGTGTGTGTTATTTTCTTCTTTAACAGGTTGACGATTATAATGAAGTAGTAGAAGATTTCAGCAGTCTTTTATCGCCAACAGCTGATGTGAGATTGGATGATCCATATGTTATATATATGGGTAGAAATGATACAATGCAACCGGCTGATGGTTTCGATGGATGCATTTATGCTGCACAATGGAATAACATTTTCCCTTTGCATTTAGCCTATGAAGAACCAAGAAGTGCACTGGTTGAAATGGTTCCAGCAGGTAGGCAATGCTCATTACGAAGGTGTTCATTTATTCCTTTTTATTACCTAATTTTACGGATGATTTTTATTTTAAATTATGAAAAATACCCATCTGATATAAATTAAATATTTTCTATAGTTTGGTTTCTAAGGGTTATTTATATTTTTACGAATTGACCACGGATCGATATCAGTTAGAGAACCACAGGGAGTACTGAACAGCTACTGTTTCATCCTATTTTAGAAATCATCGGCAGTACGCACCAACTGGGATTCGAACCCAGGACCTTCCGGTTACAAGGGAAGCTCGTATACCATTCAGCCACTGAGATCCGATTCAATGGCTCATGAAATCTAACTTCTATCAATTCGTGATTTAGCGTGTCGTTGGTGGGACATCCATCCACACACCTAAGATCTGATTGGACATCACTGGTCACGGCTTCACACTAGAACTCCAGGAAACTCCATTCTGTAGCAAGTCACTAGCGAGCATCAGATTAATTTTCTGGTTTTCAATGGTTCTCTAACTGATATCAATCCGTGATCAACTCGTAAAAATAAATTAAATAGAAGATATAGGTCAGTAAAGAATATTCTTTTTGTAACTTCGATTTCAAAATGACTTTCAACAGCATTGACGACCATGAAGTAATTTTGAAAACTCCTTAACACATGATGGAGTGCTATAAACTTCTATCAGCCTCATTCAACAGCTGGCTATATGACAATGCCACATGTCAAGCGATCCAGTATGGAAAACTCTGAGAAGCCTATGAAGTGCAGATACAAGTAAGACATGGCTCCCTACTATTACTGGTCACATGCCTGATTGTGGTGGACTGGATCGTGCACCTAACTACCAGGAGTGAGAAGATAGGGACGCGCTGAACCGGCAAGAAGATTCGAACTTCGCAGGTGATTTGTGCTTAATGTCACACAAACTCAAAAACCTGAAGTTGGAAGGCAACAAGCTTGTAGAAAATACAGGCGGCGATGACAGGACTTCAAGGGAATTTAGAAAAAACGGAGGTGATAAAGATAACCAACCACCGTTTCCACCAATGAGCATCAATCACTTTCAACGGGAGGAATATAAAGGAGGTCATTTATTTCGTTTATTTGCACAGCATAGTTTTAACTACAGGTGGTACGGATGAATATGTCAGAGGAAGAGTTGAAAGGGAAAAACAAACCTTCTTTAATTTGAAATCAGTGTGGAAATCTTTCGCAATCAGCACGTCCGAACATAGTTTCGGATTTTTAACACATTAATGACCAATCGGTGCCTTTATATGGCTTGACATACCACGGGAAGCATTTCCAACAGCCTACTAGAGACCTTTTGTTAACAGCCGCCTCCATTCACTCTCTACTGAAGATCCAATAAACCAATCAAGTAAAAACCTATTGCCAAAAGAAAATGTCGAAGGAAACGGAACCGAATTAAACACACACTAAGGCGACCATTGAGTGACATCTCATGCCAGGTCATCTGTTGAGTGGAATCTGAGTGGGAAATGACTAGTTGGACGTCGAATGGTGACATGGAGGAGATAAGAGTTTATTTGCAATCGTAAAACCAGCTAAAAAGGACTGCAGAGAACAGGTCGAAATGGATATGTAATGCTGAAGCCCTATGTTCCACAAGGAATCCAAGGGAATAGTTCTAACATAAATCTTCATTTGAAAACTGAACAGTTATATTTTGTTACGATAGGTGCAGGCCGTGAGAAAATATGAGCAAGGCTGAGTCAACAACCAATCACAGCAAAGTTAACGTGGCAAAATATGATTCGCAGATGGAGAACTCTATTTGTCGAGTAATCCCGAAGAAACCAATCAGAAGCCTGCGTTTGTCTGCCTAACTTCTGATAAACAACCAATCAGATAACTGCGCTTGTCTACTTGCATAAGCTATAAAAATGTATGTGAAATATGTATAAATACGTGTTGATTTTCATAATAAAACGATCTGTTGCCTGGCCCTTGTCTTCTGTTGTTACACAGGGAAATGCCGATTAAATGTCTACTCTCCATGACAGTTAGTAACAAAACATATGGGATTACATGTCAGGATAAATAATAAATTGTTTGGTCTGAAAACTTTAATTGGTGAGTATTGCTCCGAAATGATTACCAAGTACTCAGCTAAGTACATAAGCCATACCAGTCGAACATTGTCCAGACACGCGCACGAATGCCTCTCAGTATGATTGTCAGAATAGGAACTTAGACCAAACAATGGTTGAATTATTGAGCATCTTGTCCACACGAATCTCTCCACACTAATAGGAAAGTCTTTCAAAGTGAAATATAAGTTAAGGCTAGATCGTTTGAAGGGTTTTCCTCTATGTCTTCTGTCCACAGCAGAAATTGTCACTATACACAAGGAAGACTTTAAACTATGAGTTAAACAGAAGCGGTTTATCCAATCCCTTTTACTGCCATTGCCTTAAACTTTCCCTTTTTTTCAAACAGTAATTTGGTACGTAATCCATACCTATTCGATTCTTCTCTCCTCTTATTTTTTTTCCTTTCAAACTCCTAACTTAAAAACATACATTATAAATACTCAGAATCTTTTAATCCTTTGAACAAAATTCCTGTTTTCAAGCATTTTTAGCATTAATGGTGGTGATTTCTGAGTGGTATTCATCACTTAAGGCTTTTATTCCGCCACTAACCTAATTTTTATAATTGACTGTACAAAATTGAGATGTTTAGCAAATAATTCCAAACGATTAACTATGAAATGTATAAGTGTGTAACTTAACGTCGTTATAAAACTAAAGTGGCTTAACTCCTATAGTAAATTCCTCGTACATGTGAAGTATTCTGCAAGAAACGGCGAGGAATCATGCTCCTGTCGACGCCAAGTAAAATCCTTAGTCGCATCATCCTGGAGAGAATAAAGAACGCACTGGATGCAGAATTTCGACCAGAACAAGCTGAATTCAGGAAAGGAAAATCGTGTTCTGACCAAATTACAACTCTACGCCTCATCACCATCAAACAAAGCATGGAATGGCAACCAAACTTTATAGACTTTGAGAAGGCCTTCGACAGTTAGCGTTGATCGCGAAGTTATTTGGAAACTACTCGAGTACTACGGCGTACTCCAAATATTCATCAACCTTATTCAACAGCTGTACGACAACGGCACATGTCAAGTGATCCACAACGGAAAACTCAGCGAGGCGTTTCGAGTAAACACAGGAGTCAGACAACGGTGCTTATTATCACGAATGATATTCCTAATTGTGGTGGACTGACTGGAGTATGCGTCAGACAGTGAGTGGGAAACGAGAAGACAGGGATATCCTGGACCGACCGACGTGAAGAACCTAGAAGACCTGGATTTCCTGGGTGGATGTTTTATGTCTGATGTCACACAAAATCGAAGACTTACAAACAAAAACGAACAAATTGGTCGAAGAAGCAACCAGCGAAGACAGGACTCCAGGTTAACATAGACAAAACGGAGGTTATGAAAATAACCAACCAACCAGCCAACAGCAACAACGGCAGCAGCAAAATCCAGCGCCAATCACCATCAACGGAGTGATTTGAAAGAGGTTACTTCATTCACTTACTTATCTAGGGAGCATTGTCTCAACTACAGGAACGTAGGAACGGACGAGGATGTCAAATCAAGAGAGAATGGGGAAGGCGAGAGACACATTATTCATCAACCTGAAACCAATCTGGAAATCTTCGTCACTCAGCCAGCATCAACAGGAAAATTCGGTCAGATTTTCAATACAAACAACGTCAAGTCAGTCAGTTCTTCTATACGGATCGGATGAAAAACTTGGTGGGTGGGTGGGTCACAAAGAATATTTTCAAGAGGCTGGCTATTGCAGACGAGACCTTTATCAACAACTGACTGTCAACTATCGCTCTATACTGAGTGAAGATCAGATGGCCGGGCCGGAAACAATCACAAACAACAAGAAACTCTGACTGGGAACAAACAAAACAAGAAGCAATCGCCAACCAACAAATATGCAGAAGGAAGTGGAGATTTATTGGACACTCACTGGGGAGGAGGCGGCTGGGTGACATGGCGCGCGTGTCAGGCCATTGCTCGGGTGGAACCAGGCCGAAAGGGAAGCGGCGAGTGGGACGTTAGTGCAGGGGTGACATGGAGGAGATCGTGTGAAGAGTTGAACGAGTATGGACTAACGTGGATGCAGGTGAAAAGTACAGCAGAAGGAAGACAGAAGTAAGTGGAGGGATACGTAGATTTGAAGCCCTATGTTCCACTAGGAACCCAAGGGAACAATAATAATGATAATAAACGTGAGTGATAAAATCCAGTCTGCATCAAAGATAGGACTAGACACACTAGTTATTGACCAGTGTCCAATCAAAGTACCAAATGCAGTCAATCATGAGCCGAATAGCTGGGTGGTAAAGTCTCTGACTGCAGCAATGGATGACACGTGTCCGAACCTCAGGAGGGATATTAGTTCCCTCAAGATTGCAGGTATGCCTTGCTGACTGGTCAGTGCCAACTAGCACGAAACATAGGTCCAAGGCTCCCCCTGTTGATTGCCTCCACCCATCTAATATCAAGAATTTGATTCCAGTCTGTCCAAGAAGGCTGTCATAATTTAGGTGATTTGAACTGATTTGGCTAACTAGATTGAGTCAAACCGCTGATGAGCTCAGTCCAAAACCAATAAAAGTGACTTGCCAATATTTGGATAATTTCAAGCTGGTTTCCAAGCACTACTAAATAATGTGTGTGTTATCCAACTACTTATATTAAGTAATAAGCAGTATATGCTTTTCAGGTATAAAAAGTCCCTGTCAGAAATACACTGCTTACAGACTAATTGGAAACAAGTCTATTAACAATCTCCGCTTTCATGTAGCTGGCTTCAAGTAACCAATTGAAACAGACAGGATCTTACTTTCTTCAAGTCTACAGTTATCCAAAAGTCAGAGTCTGGAAGTTATGAAAAAACATGCTGGCATAAAGGAAATACAATCTGGTATTCTTTCTGATTTCAAAGTGCTAACACTAGTACAAAAGTGAGCATGTGGATGAAGTCCTACACTTTGAGAAGTCGACTTTACTATGATTCTAGTCCTATACGTACAAAATCTTAAAAGTGATGTTTTTTTTTTAAAAAATTTATTGGCACTTTATAGATTCAGTTCGAGAAGATTTATGTGGTTTTATTGAGATATTACCAAAACAGGAACCTGTAGAGATACGTCCTTCTCCAGCTATTCCGCCTAATATTACTATGCCAGAAGTTACAGATGACAAAGAAAGAGAAACTCGGATTATTGCTGGAGGTATTTACTGTGTTTTTTTGTTTTTTTTTTACTAAAATTCTTTGTATTCCTGAAACATTTTTACAAATACTGTTGACAGTTACTTCTAATATATATTTTATTCTCTAAATATTACGCACTAATGAACCACTAGATTATTGAGGGAAGATTATATCAATCTTTTAAAAGAGCAGAAAGTATACAGAGGTGAAAATTTGTTCGACGAATTTATGACTGAATAACGACTAATTTAGTTGTGCAGTTCTGAGTCCAAGTAAGTCATTTATCATAGTTTGGTGGTGTGATACAGACAATGTATTCCAACGGAATATTAGTAAAAATAATAATAATAATAGCTTTATTCCAAACGGTATTTGTGGTACAGGTATGGAATTTTCAGCGTGCATTACAATATATTGCATCTAATTACCTCATGAATTTTATAAGATTTTTAAAATCAAAAAATAAATAAATAAAAACCAACGCCAAAAAAATAAAAGATAAATAAAAATTAAAAAAAAACAGCGTAGAGTTAACATTTCAAACAATGCACCACAGGATATGAAATATAAAGTTGATGTGTAATAGAAGTTGAGAACAACAGTGTAGTAGTAACGAGGAAAAGAAAACAAAAACCAATGGGGCTATTTGTTAGAGTGCTGCAGTAAGTTTATCGTGTCATACCTAACGGATTTCTCATCACACACAACAGCTGTGCCAGATATGGTATTGTGGAGTTTTTGTATTTGGTAGTCCTAGCATATAGCCGCCTATAGCTGCTTCTAGTTCTACCAGATGAAATGCAAGGAGACAGCTGCGTATAGAGAGGATCCTCGGGGTCCGACAATATTGTATTCGCTAGTTTCTTACAACGATCTTGTCGGTACAATTTGAAATCATTTAGATATACTAGATTGTCATCATATAGATCATGCAACCATGTTTTTTGAAGTGATATAATCCCAGTATTACGATATATAATGGAAGACACCAGCGATTGAAGATAGTTAATTTTAGTCGGGAGGGATCGACAATTGGTACTGATAATTGCGGGAACAGTCATGAATTGAATAGGGGTATTTTTTAATGCTCTCTGTCAGCCGGCATGATGCTTTTTTTGGAGTTGCAGGTCAGTAGGTTTTAAGGATATTAAATATTCACGAGAATAAATAATCCGATTAGAGGTCATATTTGAATAAGATTTATTGATTAAAAAATCAATTAGAAATGAGAAATTAAATGCAATATGATTTGTAATGCTTAAGGTAATTGGTAGCCCAAGATTTAATCAGGCCACCAAGGTTTCACATATTCCCACATTTCAAGTCGGCAAGAGCAATAGAATACAATATATCTTCATACAGTTGGTTCCCTTGATAAATTTCGGTAAAGAAAGGAAGACGAAATTTGCAGTATAAAATGACAATGTCATTCTATTTCACAGGATCTCATCAACTGCACACCACTACCTGAAATAACAATGGTTATATAGATGATAATAATAACATACTTTAATGTTTGAGTGGTAGTGTAGCAACAGAAGGCAAGGGCCAGGCAACAGATCGTTTTATTATGAAAATCAACACGTATTTATACATATTTCACATACATTATTATAGACAAGCGCAGTCATCTGATTGGTTGTTTATCAGAAGTTAGGCAGACAAACGCAGGCTTCTGATTGGTTGTTTCGGGATTCCTTGACAAATAGAGTTCTCTATCTGCGAATCATATTTTGCCACGTTAACTTTGCTGTGATTGGTTGTTGACTCAGCCTTGTTCATATTTTCTCACGGCCCATATTAACGTAGCTTAGTGTCAACCAATCGGCTAGCAGCCTGCTCTCACCACAGTAGTAGAAATTGACGCATCCAAAATGGAAACATTAAATTTTTTTAGTTTAAGTTTTCATCATCAATTTATACTCTTTTAGAATTGAAAAGAGGGGGAGGGGTAAAACAGAAAACAGAAAACAGAAAAAAAGATTAACAGAACAGTGTTAGCTTGTAGCTTGTTCACATAGCAACTCCAAAAAACAAAAGCGGTTACTGTTTATGAGATTAAGATTTGTTCAGTGAGTTGAGATGACTGAATTAGATGACTAATTATTGTAATCACAATGAAAATTCAGTGAGTGATAGGTTAATCACACTCTCTTTCTGTATGCATAAGTCTGGTTTTGATTGCGATCGTTTCGGTAAATCGTAGTAAATTTGCTGTCATTTGTCTATTTATTATTTTGAAAAGCTTAGAAATCTATCCGAGATGTCCGGTATCAACAGTATGTGTCTGGTAATTGCACTCTGGGAATATTTACTTCCTTTCAGGCACAATATATCCTATTTGAACATTCTATATGATGTTAGAGACACAGAATATTTTTCCCACGGTTATATATTGCATTAACAACAGAATGCTATATGCCATTTGAGCGTTCTATTTCATGCTGTTTAGTGTAAACCGAAATCATACACTCAGTGATTGGTTAAATATAATATCAGAAGCACGAATTGTACCACAGTGCATAACAGTGTTGTGTTTATCTGTCCTAACTACTAACCCACTACCAGCTTGTGTATATTGACCCGTTCTACACAAATACATTTGTAAATTGAATTACTAAGATTTTTGATCTCTGACTTCGGGACTGAATAATACCCCTTTAAATTTTTAGATAAATTAAAAGATAAGTGTAATTGTTGAACGCTATGAAGCGGGCCTATTTAGTCATATTACCAAACATCTGGACTTCTTGTTCTAACTATCAATAGATAACAAGAGGATTATCTCTGAACTAATGGGGGTGACAACACTTCTAAATTCATGTTTCTCAGTAGCATTTATTTCCTATGGATCTTTGGAGAGAATAATTATAAATTTAGGCTTCATAATGACTAATCCAAGTTTTGTTTAAATGCATAACGTTGGTTGTAGTACTATGATTTATCAGTACATTCAGTACAGTACTATAGAGGATCAGTAGTTTAGTAGTAACGTCTCTCTCTCTCTCTTTCACTGGATGATATGCGTCCGAATCTGTAAGATGGGTGTGGAAATTTCCTTCGGAGTTTCAGATACCCTTCTTGATAAGTGTCAACATGCACAATATCTGAGCTCAGGACTGCTTACCAATTACCTCCAACAATCGAGCATCAAGCTTTTATAATTGAATTAAAAAACCAAAAAGTTCTATTAAGTGAAAATGCTTTTAATGTGGTTGTGTTCTCTGAGCTGGATAGTTGATTTGCGAAGCTTTCATCGCCTTACTAGGTGACATCATCAGCACATACTTCAATTTGAAGTGAGCTTTTAGATTTCTTCACAAGTTTATTAGCCATCTCTCCCGATGCGTGACCCTGACGGTGATTGGTTGTATTGGAAATGACTGATTCCTTGACTTGAGCTTTCACCCTTTGTGTGTGAGATTTCTTTCTTATCGGTTGATAAACACTACATTGGCCAAAGTGGACGTCCCCTTCGTCTTCGTATCTGCTAACATAAGCTAGCCGTCAAGAAACATGACATCCACTCCATCGATCATATCACTACATACAGACAACCACGGACACCAATTCTACTGGGACAACCAACGTTCAAATATTAGACAGAGGAAACACCGGGAATGCTAGAGAGTTTTTAGAAGACCGCCTGCTATTCCAGTGAATTGTCATTCAATAGACACATCAAGATAGGCAAAATTTACCAACCGATAAGAAGGAAATCTCACTCACAAAGGGTCAAAGTTCAAGTCAAAGAAACAATCAATTCCAATACAAGTAGCCTAGAATGTGTGAAAACACGTAAAAACAATCAAAGAGTCACGCCCTAGGTCACCAGGAGAGATGATCAATAAACACGTGGAGAAATCTAAAAGCTCACTTCAACGAATTGAAGTATTCGCTGAAGATGTCGCCTAGTGGTTATTAGGGCTGCCTTCGATTTGTTGGACAGAACTGTGCTGTTGAACTGTCTGTTAGAGAGAGGTTTACCTGATAAATTTGTTAACATCTTGAAAGCCCTATACAGAAACACCTCAGGTAGAGTGAGGGCATACAACCAACTATCACCACCGTTCCCAACCAACAGTGGGGTTAGACAGGGTTGCCCAGTCTCTCCATTTATCTTTAACTTTGCCATCTATGACATTCTGGAGTCAGCTCTGAAAGATGTGCATGAAGGTGGTGTAGATCTGCTGCCTGGAGATAGACTTTTCGACCTCGAGTATGCAGACGATATCGTCTTACTGTGCGATAGCATGCAGGCTGCCCAAATCGCACTTAATCAGTTGGCGATCAGTGTCTGTAAGTATGGTATGTGCCTTGTGCCTTCTAAGTGCAAAATACTGTTACAAGATTGGCAGGAGCCTGTACCTGCACTCACTCTTGTTGGTGAACCGCTTGAAGTTGTTGATAAGTTTGTGTACCTGGGTAGTTGTGTGAGTGCTGGCGGAGGGTTGACGGATGAGATTTCCAACCGTATAATGAAGGCTAGAATGACATACATCAACTTGAGCCACTTCTGGCGCCGTCGCGATGTTAGCCTGGCTTTCAAATGTCAGGTATACAATGCTTCGGTGCGAGCTGCGCTGCTCTACGCCTGTGAAACCTGGCCTCTCCGAGCTGAGGATATGCGGCGACTCTGCGTGTTTGATCACCGCTGTCTCCGCAGGATTGCTTGCGTTCGATGGCATCATCGCGTGAGTAATTCTGAGGTTCGGCGGCGTGTGTTTGAACACAGTGGAGATCACCATTCACTGAGTGTCGTTGTCATCTGGAAACACCGGCTCCGGTGGCTTGGACATGTACAGCGAATGTCACCCCAGAGGCTTCCGTACAGGTCTCTGTTCGCTAGCCCTGGGACGGGATGGAAAAGGCGAAGAGGTGGTCAGTCCATGACGTGGCGTCGTGGGATCAAGGATTTTGTGCTAGATTAGCATCGGTTGGTGTGTCACAACTCCCTGGTTGGCGTCCGAGAGATAGCTCAAATCGATGGCTCGAAACGTTATCGGATATGGCCAAGAATCGTAATCAATGGTGAATGTGTTGCGATTTCCTTCTTTCTTCCCTTCCAGATGATAGTTAACGAACACTGTTTGAACTTGTTAAGCATAAGTGTTTTCCTTCCAGATGAAGTTCTTTTTCCGTTCTCTACTTATATATATATATATTTCTTTTCCTTCCTTCCTTTTTTTTCTTTTTGATCTATGTTGTTTTATTATTATTGTGTGCCGCATCTTTCTTGGTGCCATATTGTACCAAGTTTTTTATGCGTTTAAATAAATAAATAAATAAATAAGTGGTTGGGGGATGAAAGCTTCTCAAATTAACTATCCAGCTCGTAGAACACAACCACATCAAAATCATCAACCTGAGCTACAAATCTTCTCCATCACATCTAAGTGGAAGTGCTACAATCAACTACTATACATTTCTTTGTCATCATGAAAGTATCCTTGAAAACCGCCTGATTTATAGATTTCTTTATTAGTTTACGCTACAGCGGCAAGTTGACTTTTGAATACACGTACACCTTACTATTTGGAGTTTGAAAGTTGTTTAATTCCTACTGATGCCTTAACTTATAGAACAGCTGTTTCGTCCTTGTCTAGGAATTCTCGTGGATATGCACCCATAGTGCCCTCCATCAGGGATCGAAGCTAAGACCTTTCGATTGTGAAGTCGAGTATTCAGCCACTGGCTCAATGACCCATGAATTTTTAACTTTTGGCACCACCGCCCATATTTGTCTCCTCATCCAACCTTGTGAACCCCAATGGTCACGATTTCTTACCAAAACTCCAGGCAACTCCGTCCTGTCGTCAGTTGCTAGTGAGCAGTAGATTAATTTTCAAGTGTTGTTGTTATAGAGATTTGGCTAGTTTCAAGTTTGATCGTAGATTAACATCAATTACGAAGGACTAATTCGTAGGCCAGTTGGATATGCAAAATTTTTCAGAGCCGAAATTAAGTGCATAAAACGAAAGAATGATTTGAATGTGAAGCAATGTCTTAAATATCCTTAATATTATTGTTCATATTATTACTCTAGGTTAGTTTTGTTTTCCTTAAACTAAAGAAATACTTGTAATTTCGAAATTTGCATTCTATATTACTTTAATAGATTTGAGTAGTAAGCTGTATGAAGTTGTAATATTTGTAGTTCTAGATGTCAGAAAATAGTGATGGAGAATTCCGTCATTTCCCCACATACAGTTGATGGGACTTACTAGTAAATTATGTTTAAAGCAATTTTTAAACTTGCATCCGCTTGTTTCTTTCCACTAAGATGGAAGAACTAAGCTTTCTCAGTAAGAGGATGAAGCTATTTCTATTCAGATATAGACTCCCTAAATTACACAGAATTACAGTAATATTCCGATGCGAATTCCTGTTGGATGGGAATGAGAAAAACAAATGGAAATTCCGATATGATAGGCCTCAACAGAATAAATTCGTGATTTACAAATAAGTGGGAAGACATGTTAGTTTGTTTATTAGTTGTATCACACAGTGAAACAGTATTATTATTTATTGGATGACAAGGTTTTGAACACAATCTATTATTGTTCATAATCATATCATCAATTATAATCACTTTTGTCTTGAAGTGCTCTTCATTCCTTTCTATTGGTCTTAGGGAAAGTAGATTTTTCCAGATGTCCGGATAGACAGGTGTTGAATCATTCCTATTACATGTATTTGCAGTTGATTCGACAAACAATGCTTCTGTAGTTATCAATCTCTCCCTCCACTCAGCTGTTATATTAGATTTTAAAACTGTCATCCTATCCCATCATCCTATTGTATAGTTGTGTGTAATTGCATGTAGTGAGTGGTATAGCTGAACTATTCTCCAGATTTCTTATCGTATTCGGGTCAACCAATCTAGATTTTGCTAGATTTTTGTGCTCCACTAGTCCAACTGAACTTGTTCTACTACTTTGACTTAACAGTCATTGTATCAGGCCATTTGATGAACTAGATTATTTTGCAGGATCCTTTTACTGATTTAGTCGGTATCTAAGTGTGCTTGTAGTTTGAATGTAGCTTTTATTCCCGCATTGTTAAGAATTATGCGTAAGGTGGTTTCCAAGGTTCCTTCTTTGTATGAAATTACTACTAATGATTTAGATTCTTTATTGTTGGTGTTGTCTTGCGCACATTTGACTTGCCTGTCATCATTAATATCGTTATTATTATTATCAATATCACCACTATAATTATTTATTTTATTTTTAAATAAAAGTGAATAACATTCAAACCATCCACAAAGTGAATTAGAAATAAGATACATAAGTCAAAGTAGTAGAACAAGGTCAGTTGGACTAGTGGAGCATAAAAACCTACCAAAATCTAGATTGGTTGACCCGAATACGATAAGAAATCTGGAGAATAGTTCAGCTATACCACTCACTACATGCAATTACACACAACTATACAATAGGATGATGGGATAAGATGACAGTTTTAAAATCTAATATAACAGCTGAGTGGAGGGAGAGATTGATAACTACAGAAGCATTGTTTGTCGAATCAACTGCAAATACATGTAATAGGAATGATTCAACACCTG